TAGCTAACTTGATTTAGAAGAACATTATGAAATTACCTATATTTTTTAATATTAAGTATTTTAGTGTCCAGATATACAAAAAAATTTACATGTGTATAGTTATTTAGAGACTAAATCATTATTATCTACAACGTCTTGATATAGTTTTAATTGGCTAGTCCTGTTCCTTAGGAATAAAAAGTGAAATGACTACAAGTTAGAACCTGTAGGGGTCGGTGACCAAAGAAGTGGCGCCGCGGCTTTACACCGATTGGCGACTGCTCCACGCGTCTGATTCATAATTTGCACCACCATCCGAGAGCTTTGTCGACATGACTCAAATCACTGTACCTACAGTGCACATATTCAGCAAAACAAAACAAAACTAATATTTCAATGCTCGCTATAATCAAAAGTATAATATGCAAAATAACTAGTGTGTTCTTAGATCGACCTAATTTCATTACCACGCTGGAGTACGAAGATGACGCACATTTCCACGCAGCCGACACACACAAGTGACGATAATAACCTTTGACCGTTTGCCTAATTGGTCGCGTGGTCACACATTGTAAATTATAGACCTTTTTGTAGCACTCGCAATCAGCCATTAAATTATTTTAATCTGAATATTGTCAAATATTTATGAACCTAAATATTATTATCAGTTCTGTTGTTTTTACTAAATCTAATAAGTAATACTAAAATTAGTCAATAACTCGATACTAATTCAACTGGTTTCTCACAATGAGATAAGGCGAACGAACGCTGCGTAGTTTCTTGCCACCAGGCGTTTTTTCATGTGTTACGTCCACATTCTGGAGCGTGTGTGTGTCGGCGTAGGCAGGTTGTGTGAAAAACATAGTGATGAGGGTGTAGCACCCGCACCCGCGGAGGCGGCGGGGTGCTTGTTGAGGGGAATGTTTTGGACCTGAGTTCAATGCATTCGCGTCGCCACCTGTAGCACATAGCTCTAAAGAACTTTAGGCTATTTTTATATACATATTTGTTTTGGACCTGCCTGAATACAATACACCGCTATTGTTTTTCATTTCCCACTAACAAAGCACTTTATTGTAAATGAAATATGAAATATTTAGATTAATTACAAGTAAAATCATTTCAAGCAAACTAAAATTATACGTAATATGTGAATTGTCTGTTTTTAGTTAAGTTTCATAAATTACGCTCACTGGGGGGTCAAATATTACAACAAAGTTCCGTACCATTTCGTCGAACAGTAAGGGTAAAACCATCGGCAGTTCAGTGACCTGCCATTCTCCTGGTTGTCCCTTGGCTTTATGGGGTGCACTCCGCGTGCGCTTTCTCGCTCATGCATCGGCATCGTGCTATCTCGTCTAATTTCTTTGCGACAAACCAAAAGTTAAGCCGACAAAGTTCTCAATAAAATCACATATCTAATATATTTAAAGACTTGCATTATATATTTGAGACCCAGACAAACCTACTTGTCTTGTCTTGTCAGAGTCTGTGGTAAACCTATTCAGAATATTAGTTATAGAGACATCTAGTTAGAATTAAATGAATATTTTTAACTAGTATTAAACTAATATTTTATTTGTTATTCTAACGCTTATTTTGATGAAATCCCACCCTCTTTTGTTGTTCACACGTATAGTGCCAAAAAACTATAATAATCTTATCTTTAATGTTTACGGAAATGGTTTACGGAAACGGTTTTTGTATTTTGCTTTTTAAACAACTCCATCGCTCAGTGAAACTTTTATTTGTAAACTTGCAAATTGTGGACAAAGCTTGTTTTGAAACATAACCATCAAGTATAGCCACGTGAGGATTTAGCTTTATTTATGCACGTTACTTTAGTTAAACAATTAAGTTGTTAATTTGTTTGAACATTCAAATAACTATTAAATAGACATAAATTTTGTTGTCTTTTTAATTTACATTACAGTGCATACGAAATAAAAGAAAAATATAGCTTGACCTGGCTGTAAGTACTGGCCTATATTATCATATTCAGAAGTACCGTCGCAATAGACGCGCATCTCACAAACACCGCACAAAAGTGCCGGCTGGTAACACGCAGCCAGTAGGCAACGCAACGTATCTCGTTAAATGGCGTCTTCCTCATTCGCTTCGTTTCTAGAGCTAGAAGGAGATGACACGAAAACAACTTATCTGGCACTGTTAAGAATTATATGTGTGTGTGTGCGTATCTGTGTCTGTAATAAGGAAGGTCAAGCGGATGAAACGGACTTAGTATGTATACCCATGGGTAAAAAAGAGACGCAATGAAAACAAATCAATATCATCATCTCGCGGCGTTTTGCGATGGAAAGAGACAGCGCAATAACAAACCGGCATTTTGTGCCGGCATATTCTATGAGGAAGAACTGTATTTTAATTTCAACTGTATTGCAACTGATTATGATATAATTTCGTCCGCCATAGAGTTGTTTACGGACTTAAACAAGAACGCAGTCAATTTATATTTTCTTGTCCGTTTGCTTTTAAGTAGGTAGACTCATTTAGTTAACGGCAAACCGGTATTTTTTTAATATAATTATGTATGAATAAAATAAATGCCAATCACCAAGAATGGAAACTATTCAAATGTCATTTTTCTATTTATATAAAACGAAAAATTTTTTTTACACATATACATGTAGTTGAATGATTAGATAGATATACAGATATTATTATTTCAACATAATTGTCACAAATTGTAGATGAAAAATTGTAACATATAAATAAGGTTAGCTGAAATAAACTATTAGAGAACAATGTGATGAGACTTGAGTTGTATAATAAAATGCATAGATAGGTAGCTACGTCGTACAACTGCACACTACTGGTATAGACTACTGCATTGCACACATAGAACTGAACTGGCACGTGTAAGCGTGCCGACGACACACTACGATAGAACTAGGGCTATTCTGAAAACACATTTATGGCTTTTCATCATACTAATAAATATATACATACTTGTTGCAAATACATAGTAATTATACTGGAAGACAAAAAAATATGATATTATCTGTCCAATATCATAAAATCGTTAATATCATTTTAAATTATCCACAAAATTATGCTTTCTAATTTAAATTTATATTCCCAATCTTTCTTTCCTTTGTTCACCCTTTGCCAACTAAATTTTTGGTGACAGCTCTTATTCATCATAACCAGCTGAATGACAATATTTCGCGTAGAATAACTGTATTAATAGTGAAACTATTATATCGAATACTATACTAATTACTTCTTTTTACACACATTAGACCTAATTTTTTTTAATGATTTACTTGCATCTAAATCGCTTAGGAATGATATAAACTTCAGATATAATGCACGAAACGGTCACTAGCACGCATACGTCACTAAGTACGCATGAAACCTGTATACAAGCTGGCAGAAATACGTAAATTTGTAAAAAATATATCAAAGCTTTATCAAACGCTGAAAGTAGGTCAGTGGTGCAGCGAAGGGAGGGAGCCGCCCTCCTGAAGTAAAACACGCGCACCGACATTCGATCCACACTCCCCTCGTCCCGCACCAAGGGAAGGTGAAGCTATATTAAAATAAACTATAGATACCCACTGTGCCAACACAAGGAACTGATACGTTCTTGTAGGTCTTACTATTTTATACGAATATTCTTGGTAGCAAGTAGCAACCAGTGTTCGTTTTTAAATAATGTTATATAATTATTATCGTACTTATTGCGTTGTCAAAAAAATCTTGTCGATATCTAAAATCATAAATTATTAGTTTGAGAACAATTTTTATACAATTATTTTTTGTAAATTTCTGGCAAAATAGCTAGATAAGGCTCTAGTATTGATTTTTTATGTATCTTGTGAGTTAGGCCATTTTTACGGATAGGTTCAATCCAATTTAATTCCTTCAAATGCGTGATATTAGACGAAACCCTGAAATGGCATAATGTAACATACCTACCATATTGATTGGTTCAAATTAAACAAAGAAGCGCAACCTTCATACACCACCCTTGGCCCTGGTGCTTCGACCCAGTTCGCGGTCTCTACCCCTCCTCCTCAACCACCATTTTGCACTCCCCGGACTACGGTGCTCCTCTACCTCATTCCCCCGTGACCTAACCTACTTTTGATTGCACTTAAAATAGCTACGCTGCCAGATCTGACCCAGCAAATTTAACTGTAAATCTAGATTGAACCAATTATTTTTATAAAATACTATTCGTTAATTTTAAGTTATATTGACTAAATTTGACATTTACAAATGGGTATCAACCACAATTATAAAAATGCATAATATTTTTTTATGTTATAAGCCTGTAAACGAGCAGACGGATCACCTGGTGGGAAGCAATCGGCGTCCGTGGACTCCTGGAACACCAGAGGCGTTACAAGTGCCATGATAGAGAAAACATATTTTCAATGACGGAGGTTTCGGCACATTTTTTCAGGACTGACGTAGCTGAATAGGTTTAGTTAACTAAAACGTAACACCATTAAGTATAATGTACCGTTGAATGTATATAGCCCAACTCAGCTGAAATAATGTGGCATTGAGCAGAAGGTCGATGCAGAAACTTTGGCAAGACACGCCAACTGCGGCCCTGCGTATATTTCGTCACGGTCGGTTTACTAACGTGTGTAAATTTAGTGAAGTGGACGCTACTTCAATAGTTTTAAGTTAATAGAATATTCGATATTGTGATACACATCTATACGTAGACTTTATAGGTTATTTATAATCACTAGCATTTACTCAGTACTCGAGAACCCCGCAAGCTGATTACGGAAATAGTTATATAAACTGAATAGCATCACATAAAATTCACCAATAGAAAATATGTTCTAACAATACATGATGCCGTCACGCTTTGTACAAAGCGTGGCGCTTACTTGCGGTGAAGCAGTGTTACCAGCAGAACGACGCGTTTTGCTCGCAAGGCCGCGACCTAGAGTTGCTTCCGTCTCCACTACAACATCGCTCTTCATAAAATCGGTACAAGAAACATCATTTTCTAATTATAACTATTATTGTTACAGATTAACAGCGTTGTGTTTGTATGTACTTGGCGAGGATGCACATACAGCACAAATACTTGCTCAGCTATTGAAGCACATATTAGAAACACACATTTGGGGTAAGTAAAATATCGTTTGTTGTTTTCAAGTTGTCCCTCTACCAATGGACATTATTTCATTTATAATATTTTTAATACATATGTACCGGTAACGTAAACCTAGCAAATTAACTCACAAATAGTAGAATGCAACAGTCACGTGTAAAAAGGTCACGTGCGTCAGCCACTGCACGTGCTAGGTGCAATAATAATTGCGCAATGCCAACAAGCCAGCTGGCAAGGTTACAGCCTGAATGCATCTACTGATGCATGTTAGCAAACATTTTACTTCCTGATCAGCAGAGAGAGATTTAAAAGAATTGTGAGACAAAAAGTAGTACGTATATAATTTCAAAGTTAACGACTTTTTATTTATATTTAATGTTTTACCACCAATAAAAATAATGCTGAGTAAGACCTTGATGTCTACAATACAGTAGTTAGCATAAAATAGTTAGAGAATACAGAAAGGCCGGCCCTTGGTGACCCGGAAGCAACGAGGCTTCGCGACAAGGTTGCTCGCAACAATCCCGCCAGCGCGCGCAAGGCCATTCGACAACGCCCGCAGCCCACTGCTTACGTAACGCTGCCCTACTATGATCTTATAACCAATGATACAATACCTACACTTTATTAAATGTACTTATTTGCAATGCAATTTGCAGCCCTATTTATTTTATACACGTAGGCTTACGTACGATATAAACGATAGATAAACGATATTACGCTAGATTCTATCAATATTACGTATTTAAAAAATATATTATTATTTAGGTTTAACTGAAATATCATAAATTAAACGGAGATGTTGAATGATACACACTGACAAAAAATGTCATTAAATATGAATTACTCACTTTTCAGGCCAAAGAAAGAAGGCGATAGTGACCATGAAGAAGAGTTCTACTACACAGAGAGGGAGGTGGCCGCCCCTGCACCGCCACCCACACTCTCCCACCGAGACATGTGTCGCCCACCGCATGAGGATCCTGAATATCAACGTCAGCTAGTAGGCTCTTTTAGGTATGTACCACATTCATAAAATGTACATCATGTGTTTGGGTACAATTGGTTACTTATGGATTTCAAACGTTCAAAGAGATCATTGTTAGTCAATACCTTTATACCAAACTTGTGGATAATAAGACTAACTGAATAACTAGTACTGTTTAAGATAAACGAACTCCTTAAGTAGACATTTAGTCAAAACCATTTTTTTAATTTATGCCACCTTTTTAACTAACATTCAATACAAAACACTGATTTATAATATATGTAGGTGCATAGGTTGTATTGTATTTTTTTATTTTTCGCAGACAAGGATTACTGTCTACTCTGCAGAATGGAACTGCACGGTCAGTAAACATTCCTGTAACTCATCACTGGGTCAATACGCATTCGCCGGTAAGTGCTGCATTATGTTAAGAATGAGCAATGTTATAAAAAACGTGGATTTTATAAATACATATGTCCTAAACTTCTTATAACTTTGCAGAAGCATATGCGACTATCTGCAGCGAATGGATCACCGAGTAGTCCAGGCAGACGACCACGTTCAGACAACAAGAAATGTCGTAAAGTATATGGAATGGATCAACGTGATCTCTGGTGCACTCAGTGCAAATGGAAGAAGGCATGCACGCGTTTTGGCGATTAGCGGTCGCGACGCTCGCACGCATACGCGCGGGCAGGGCAAACAAAATGAATACAGAGTTGTATTATTGATACATCTATTTACCCAGCATAAAATAAAATATGACAAGACATTCGCGGTAAGCGAGAACTGTTCCGCGATTAACTCGTGATTTAACTATAAGAAAATTTATATTATGAATCAAAGTTTTTATTTATTATAAGCAGAGACAGATAAATTTACATATATTGGATAAAAATTAATGGAGACATATTTTTGCTCTTTATATGTGGCTCGTGTTTTGACTGCTGCATAATGGACATTGCCCACGTATTTTTGTAGCGCAGTAGATTCGCCTTAATTGTGACGTAAATGTGGAATGCAAAATCGTGTGACGCTCTCGAGCGGAGACTGTGAATATTAGAATATAAGTAGCTGTAAGTTTAGACTGAGATGAATAACGTGTGAAACCATTTTCCTCGACGAACGTTGACAATGACGAGTAATTTTAATTACTGGTTATATTACGATGGCTTACTACTAGACAAACCGGTGTTGATAATATTAAGATTGAATTTTATCATTTAACCGTGAAAGATTGGCCAATTCCGTCCACATCTTCGAATGTGCATCATCGATTATATCGACCACACGTCGTTCGGGATAATGTTTTCACACCATTTCTACTATCTACAGAGTATACCATTGTATGCTCTGTCGTTCGACAAAATGTTGTCGAAAATACTTCAGTGATATAATAAATCACTAAATATGAAATGTATATTGACTGACTTATTAGATGATAATAAAATATAATATATGAAATTAGCCTAGTAAGTTATCTCAGATTCGACGAAAAGACTACTAACATGTTTAGACTTAAAATTTTTATGAACATATCTGTGTTGTATACAATGATGGTCCTACTAGAACAAGGAGACAATACTCAAAAGATGTCACGTGTATCAGCGGCGCGGGAGCTTTCCATTGTGGTATTACCGACGACTCCTTTGCGTTGCCGTATAAATATTACAGAACGAGTACAAGCAAGGCTATGACGTCCAGAGAAAGGAAAGATATTGAAGGAAACATCACACTGTACAATGTGAAGATGACTAAACATTTTATGAATCATTAGAACGCGACGTTCATACGCCGACATCGCGATCTAATGTAAACGTCGCGTCGTAAATAACACTTGAGACGAGAATTGGACACAATAGTGTCTTCTTATACCTTTAAGTAGACTGAATAATGACAGTCTACAAAGTATAAACAACATCTACCTACACGTACAGATTTGGAGTGCAATGTGTAATGAGGCCGCAGAAATGCGAATGATTGAAAGAAAGGGATGGCGATTGCGAGAACTGCAATATTACTTTTAAGTATTACTGAATTAACATGTAAATAATAATTATATTATAGTGAATTATATAAAGATATTATTCTGTATCTACCTATTTAAAAATTGAAAGCAATCTTTGGATGTGTACATAGATAAAGTATAAATATTATTATTGTTACTTAATGTGATTGTTTAAATCGAACTTTTGTACGGCTTCGTAATAACGAGTTTATAACTTGTAGTATAAGGCACAGTAATTGACTTACAAGAACCGCGATTACTTTTGTTTCGTCACCTACATCACGGCATAGTAATAATTATTATTTTTGTTTGACAGTTACCAAGGTTCGTTGTTGTTGGTTGATAGGTAGTTATGGTTAAGTTAAAGAATCACAAAATGCTTTTATTACTAAAATTACAGTACTAGGTTTACAAATACTCCGTGTTATATCATATATCTACGGTACAACACAGAGTATGTAAAGTTAAAATGTGCCAATCATAAATGATACAATCACTGTGAAATCAATATTAGAATATTTTACACGTAATGTGTTCATGTGTAAATTAATAGGCACTCGGAGCTATTTAGTAATATCGGTGCTGATACAAATAACGCACATTACAGATACCTATGTACCGTGTTTCAAGACTATTCGGTTATATACAAGTTATTAAAAGTACGAATATCTACTGATATTGAAAGTAATATCCATATACGTAAAAAATATCATGTTTTTAATCTCATCCAATACAATGTATATCAAATTATTTTAGATCTGATCATCCCAAATAGAATAATTTTCTTAACTCACAAAGTGTGAATGTTTTTCTTGTTATTTAGAAAAAAAATCATCGCAAAAATTCGTAGGTATGTAAAGAATGCTTACCCATATCAGAAAACGTGAAAATAATATTTGCCTACCCATTTTTAAATACAGTTTTTAAATAGAGTTTTTAACTGTATTTAAAAATAAGAAACATATTCAGCGCATCTTGCCAAATTTCATCATAATTGTTTTACAGGTGCTCTATTATTTTCATATTACTTGTATATTTGGATATTGTGCTATCATAATAATTATGTTACGTGATGTACCTGTAAGTCTTACCAAATATAAAATTTCATTGCAATATTGGTTGTGAAAATGATAATGAAGTTGTCATTCATAAATAGCAAAACACAAACGCTCGACGCAATGAAACTCCGCGCTTTCCAGACCAAAAGATCACCTGTAGTCGTAAGCAACAACTCAGCTAGCGATTTGACAACTGCCATATTGTAAGAATCTAGAATTAAACTGCAGCTTAGATTTTAAACATAGCTCTTAGTTGTATTTTAAGTTGAAGTCATAATAATAGTATTTAATAATGTTTAGGTACAATACACGTATTACGTATATTTAGTTAATATTTGTTATTTCACACAAGTGAATGTTTGTAAATAATTTCAGCTAATAATTTACAATCATTGATCAATGACATCTACACGTTACACATTTATAATTTTCTGATTTGTCTCATTCAATGCCCGTGCATATATTTGGAGGCCCATACATATTCATATTAAAAGGACGTATAGACTCACCGCGAGTTAAATTAAAACACTTTGTAATATTCTCATACATTACAATTATAAATATTCGTTGGAGTCCACAGAACGCCACATGGCATGCTAGTTTCATATTTATGCATAAATACGATGCCGATCTCAATTTACTTTCGAAGCTACTAGAGTTATGTTTAGGAACATGATATTTCATAGATCATTTCTTATTTTATACAAATTATAGATTTTTATAGATTTTAATTATTTTTAAATAAAGACACTTTATTTATTAATGACTAAGTGGTTTGTAAATATTTTTACGTAATTTACTAATTTATTTAGCCAAAATTTTTGCTCAATTTTATATGCACTCAACACCAAAGTCATAATACTAACAAGAAACTACATATCAGTACAAAAAGCATAATTGAAACAATAATTAGGATATTTTGTTCGTACATTCAGGCGTTCACATGTCTAGGGCTATTCTTGTTAGTCACGTATAAGTATCTATTGCACAGATTTTTTGATTTGACAGAATTCTTGTGATACCTATGTTTGTATGTACCATCTGCGTCAAAAATGTTACAAATAAGAAGTAGCCCAAAATAGGCAAGTGATCAGCTAAATAATTTGGTTCAAGTTCAAACTAACAAACAACATTGACACTCCAAAACAAGTACCTATTCAGTCAACTTTTTTAGTTAATAACACGCAATTTTTTTCTTTTATAAATTATTGAACACAGTACATTTTTGTAAATATGTAATAAATTCACAAATTGATAATGTTTATTTATGATATAGATAAGTACCTGGTAATATGCGAGAACACAACGTAATTGTTAGAACTATCGGTACTTATAATCCTAAGAATCTGACGATGTATTAATTATAATTAATGACATTGTAATAACCATGTTGTACCTTCTAGTTGAGTAGCATATTTACTTAAAATTATTGTATAACCTTTATTCTAAATAGTGTCTTCGTGAATTTAGATTACTTCACATTTTCATATGTTTAGTGCCCTTGTTGTAAAATAATTCAGTTAAAGTTATGGTACCTACCTACATAGCTAGCATGTGTATTGTTATCTACACTATTTACATTAATAGTATGTTTATCATAGTTTTATGTCACTATTACTTCACTATATTAATATACATACATAACGCGTCAAAAACTTTCCTTTTAACAAAATATGTGCACAAACATGCGCCAAACACAACGGAGAGTAAAACTAGCGTCGGAAAAATTTAAACACTGGCACCCTACTTCATAATGGCAGTCTTTGACGCGTAGTGTACAATATGTTATATTATTGTAAATTGTTTAATCTTAATTGTATATCATTTTAACTATTTTAAAAACTACATATTTGATTGAATGTTTATCCTTTATGTATTTTGCAATTCCAATGAAGTTTATATTATTTTATGTGGGCAATTATAGTTTATAAAAATATGTCTCCTGGTTTAGTAGGTACCGAATTAAGTACTTTATTCATATAGATATTTTTGACGTGTCCGATAGTAGCTACTACACTCAGCTTTTTATTTATCTAACAACTAGTCGACAACGACAATATGACTCTTAAGCATACATCTAGAAATGACCATTATGTAAAAAATGTACTACGTTTGTGCGTAGGATGTTTTATATACTCCGTTACTTCATTAGTTGTTGTGTATAATAGCAATAATTTGAAAGAAAGAAAATGTCTTAATAGTATTCTATATCAGTGCTAACTGAAGAGCGTCTTGGAGTCTAAATATTATTATTAGCGTAGGCTTATTTTACGGGCATCACTGACTAGGTACTAAATGTTAAGTATCACGGCTAATTGCTATGAATTTATCTCGAAACGTATCGTCGATGAGTACCTACCAACAAACCAACTACCTACAGTATGTTGAGTACCTGCTTTCGCCATTTCTATATGTTGTCTAAATTCTGATGATAAATCTTTCGTTTCTTCCTCAGGGCAATGGTATCATGTTATAATAACCACTCGTGTACATTGAATACGTCATAAGTACCGTGTCAAATAAACGTTTGTCGCTAAGGTCCTACCTACTCAAAGTATGGAAACCTTAAACATTTTCGCGACACGTTCTTTATTATACTTGGACGCCTAGACAGCAATTTCACAATAACTGCTAAAAATATAACGAGGAAAATTTGTACATTCCAATGTCAAATATATGCAATTAAGCAAAAGATAAAATAATACAAAGATGAGTTATTACATTACGTTAAAATGTGGCTTATAATAAGTGTACCTATAACTTTACAAGAAGTTACTTAAGAAATTGTTAAGCCAGTATGTATCAAATTTATTTAAATATCAATACTACATAGGATTCAGAATCATGAAGTATCTAGTTTCTTGTTAAGAGCCGGTGGATACATCGATACGTCGTTATTAATGGTTACCAATAGTTGTAAGGTCGCAAAATGATCAAATGTGTTGATTAATTATCTCTCGATAGATATTATATGTACGTATTCAGTTATCAATATCACAGCAGTTTGTTAGTGTCCTGTCAGCTCCAGTTCATCAAAATAACTGCCTTGACTTGGTTGCTGTGATTATTTACCACCAATGTTATTGCCTGGTAGCAACTAGCTGGCAGATATTCTACTGTGATATTAATGATTTTATTTATTATTTTCTAAATTATTATTTATAACTTTAATGTTGAATGTGAGCATGTTATATTTTACTGAAAAGATCTTAGAATAGATGATGTTATCTTTATATTGTATCTAAAGTAAAGGTCCAGAATGTGTTCCATAATGATTTAATATTGATAGTTATAACAGTTATATTATTAAATGTTTCTGTTAATAATTTGAAATTGATATTGTAACAAATATTGAAACAGGAAGAATTGTACATCACAAAACTTAACAGCTATAATAAACCGCACTTTGAGCTCTCTATCTATAATGTATAATATTGCATTTCATAGCGGACTACATTTGACTGTGAAGTATTGTACCTATATAATAAATATAATTATCTATCAACAAAATAATGTTAAACAGTTTAATGAAGTATATGTATATTGAAAAATGTTATTATTTTATTACATGCTACTTCAAGTAGACTATTTGCCTGAATATACCTCAATAAGTTTAGTATGAATTTTGTGTGTCTTGAAAAATATATTTCAATTATTAGAATCTATGTGGCATTATTTTTCTGACCCTATTTTAAATCCTGCGTAGTTTTTACTATTGACAAATAACATAATGTAAATCAATCAATTTACAAAACTCGAGAAACCAACCAACATCCAGTGGATAAAAATTTACAAGAGTGACTAGTGTGATATGACTAATGTGTACAAGAGTGATAAAAATTTACAGATTACATGCAGTGCATGCAGAATATCTGACGACACTTTTGAATAAAGAAATCATAAAAAAGTGCTAGTGAATTAGTCAATATTTATACATTTCTTGCCTAGGTACATAGCTATTATAAAGCAATGCAATATATGGTGAAACCTTCAACCCCTATATTATATTTTAAACGAGTTGCTTCAAATGTAAAAAAGAACATAATAAATATCGTTTTACCAAGTAGGAATTAAAGAACTTACCTGTAATGCTGTAACGTTCAGTGCACCAAGAAACCACATTATTTGAAAATATATTGCAACTACCAATGGTACAGTTTTATCTAAATGTAGCAAATCCAAAAATACAAGCAAAAGCACTAAAGCACGAATAAAAAGCCAAAAGCAACAAACAAGCCCAGCAAATAAAGCAGAAAACAGTTGAGTTATTATTTAGTGTAGTAAGATTGTTTTTTTTCAGTGTTTTTGTGTACTGGATTCTATGAAGCGACTCGTACAACATATTATCCACTATAGAAAGAAAATAACATTGTTTCCCACATTTTTAATTTTAGGTAAAAGTAACAAAATTTAACAAAAAATAACAGTCTACCTAGTATCTATAATAGTCTATGGCTTGAGTAAGTTGGGGCTTGGGGTACTTTCAGAAGCATAGATAAAAAAGGTTTTATTTTATTTCTTTGGCAGATTTATGAAATGTCATTAAACTCATACCAGTATTTCACCAGTAATTGTCTATTCACTATTTATCTGATCACCTTTAATGAAATGAAACAGTGAATGAAACACTTAAATAATCATTTCGTGAGACATACTAAATTAATTATTTCGTTTTCTGGTTACTCACGTAACAACCGGGAACATGTGGCGGAATTCATGGGACACTTTAAACTTGATGCACGGCAGCATTCAGTTCACTACTGAGGAGGAAAAAGAAGGAATGTTGCCGTTCCTAGACGTCCTCATAAGTCGTAGAACAAACGGCCGGCTGTCGTATACCGCATACGGTTTATCGTAAACTGACGCAAACGGTCCGGTACTTAAAAGCCGTCTCGCATCATTATCACTCCCACTTCGCTTCCGTTCCCAGGACTTTAATAGTTTAATCAACCGGGCACTGATCCTGTATGATCCCCAGTGCATTGATGCTGAATTCTACCACCTAAGACGGGTACTGGAGAATAATGGGTACAACTGGCGTCAATATACTGAACTGGCGAGCTTGTCACTCAAAGAACGACCGGCAGTTGCGGAGTGGACTCCAGCATTTTGCATTTAGCATTTTTTCAAGGTCTTCGTACTAGCGAGGGAGAAATACTTTGTACCGTGGAAAGTACGCGAGGCCATCGAAATAATTCGTCGTCAGAACTTCAACAGAGATGTTAGCGGGCACTACCACCTGCATGGAAGCCGAGTCAAAAATCTGAGTCAGACCAAAATGCTGCTGGTATGGACTGTGACACAGTGAGCTCGGTATGTGGCACTGATTTTGCGTCGACCCGGGATTCTAATTCAAAGTCTACGTGGCCACCGGTGAACGAGTCTAGCGTACAAACGGTGTCGCACGCGCCGCCACAGATGGAGGAAACTGCGCGTGAGTCACGGCAGAGGGCACGTTGGGCCCACACCGCAGCAGACTCGAATGGCCATTAGCAGCGCGACAGTGGCTGCGTCGCGGGTCGCGAAATGCTGCTCATGAATATAGCATGGCTTAAACACTAGTCGAGTTCGGAGTTTCTCGTCAAAAAGTTATGCGAGTAAGCCGAAAACATAATAATTAACTTAAATAATCTTTTATTTTATTTATGGACTTACCTTACCTTACTTAATTGCCAAGGCCTGGGTTAAGAAACCATTAAATGACTCAGAGTACGGCGGTTAGTTATGGGCTTTTAAAACCTATTCTCATTACTTTATACAATAGCCAGAAAAAAGTTGTTCGAGGAATAGAACAAAGATTTTTTTTTACTCAAATATTCTTATATTACTCCAAGCCATTATTAATCGTTTGTCGTCTCATTGTCAATCGTTGTCAGCCATGTCTTTTTGCGTACGTTTATCTTGCAAAGTCGTATGTTATCGCATCACAAATCGCATTTACGCATCACAAATCTTCTCGTTCTCGTTACTGCGATGGTGTAGCACTAGCATTATCCATCAATGAACGAATGATTGAAAAATGGTATTTGTTATCTGTGCTAATTGTTCCTATATCAAATGTCAATGTCAAATGTGTCATACTCTGTCGTCATCGTCAAAAATCAATAAATAAGCTTGTTTTTCTATTGATCGAGTCTCTGATTAGTATATAGTGCTCTGTGGATCGGGACATCGAGAATAATGAATTAGTAACTATTGATTTTGTCTAGACCATTATCAAAGTATTTTAACATTGGGACTCGGAGATAGATATTGAGGATTGTGAAGTGAAGCCAGCTACTTGAAAAGTTTGCAGGATGGGTGCAGTGTTGGGCCTTTGTTCAGCTGCTCAGGTGATCGTTGTTTATATTATTTATAATTTACTTAAGTTTCTCTTTTTACGTGTTTAACATTTCATTGGTAAATTCGAATGCTATATTTTTATTATTAGAAAGTGGGTACTTGTAATGGATGGATTGAACTATTCAATTGAAATACGTTTAATATAAGCGTCCTTGTAATCTTCAATTCGACATAAGAGAGCTGAATATATCTATTCTGTTTCTATTCCATACAATGTCTATTTATAGATACAATCCTCCAGAAACATCCATCATGCCTCAAGTTCATCCTTGAATGTGAATATAAAAATACCCACCAAAAATAATGGCTTCTGTGATTAGAAGAAAGGATTTGAAAACGAAATAGTTTGTTTTAAATAGTTTTAATGTTGATTGACAGTTGGCATGTTGCTGTGGCAGTGCAGCTTGTTCCCTGTGCTGCTCGGCGTGTCCATCATGTGCCAACTCGACGTCCACTCGTCTCATGTACACACTCATGCTGCTACTGGTAATGGTGGTGGCTTGCGTCACACTAGCTCCTGGATTACATGATGAAATGCAAAAGGTATATAGTTAATTAATAACTTGTTAATGAGTGGTCATCACATATGACTATACTAAAGAATTATATTTGTGAATACTATTGCTTTCTAGGTTCCATTTTGTAAAAATTCGACAAACTATATACCCGGCGACTTGAAAGTAAACTGTGACCAGGCTGTTGGCTATTTGGCAGTGTACAGGTAACATCTTGATTTGTTTAAACCACAACAGTGATACCTTGAAACAAAGAACACATAATGAAGTTACAATATATTTTCAGAATATGTTTTGCAACATGTCTCTTCTTTGTTTTGATGGCTCTTATAACAATTGGAGTAAAGTCGTCTAAAGATCCCCGTGCTGGTATACAAAACGGGTAAGTACGTCTCAAAATATACTTGTTATGAACATTCAGTCAGTGTTATCTGAGTGTCTGTAAATGTGACTGATAATATTGTTTACAGTTGTAGTTGATAAGCATAAATTATGTTTTCTGTTTCAGCTTCTGGGGCATCAAGTATCTGGTTGTTATTGGAGGCATAATTGGGGCTTTCTTTATACCTGAAGGACAATTTGCTTCAACCTGGATGGTGTTTGGCATGATCGGCGGTTTTGGCTTCATTGTTATACAACTCATTCTAATAATAGATTTTGCGCATTCTTGGGCTGAAAGATGGGTTTGTAAGTATTACAGTTCAATAACACAGATACAATTCCAGCAACAGATATTTGACTCTATGTGAAGCTGAATAGCTTCTTGTTTGTTTAAACATGCTTATCTGCAGAACTACTAATTCAATTATTAATTTTGTGTTGGATAGTCTATTTATTGAGGAAGGCTATAGCCTATATAATAATAAAATATCACAAATGGTTTCTCTCCAAAAGCCAATGTACAAAGTAGTATACATATTTACCACCTATTTCCCTTCTTCTTCTATACATACGATGGAAAGACGCAAGAAATACAGCGCCCGCCGCAACTTGTTACCTTATCATACTGAATCATTTCATAATGTGACAAAGCATGACTCATCGTGTTATTACAATATAGTGCGTATTTCCTATGTTAACAATCTCAGGATATCCCCAGTTTCAATGTGTGTCAGAAGAGGAAACTCTTCAGATTATAATTTAGAAGTATTCTTGTTCTCATATTTGTAATTATAATGAAATCTCAGGTATCTTATATGTAGCTATACAGTTACTATAGTTCTAGTTCGATAGACACTAAAGTTTAATTATAAAACATGCTAACTAAAAAGTTTAAAATCCTTAGAAAATGTATTCATTCTATTTTCTACAATAAAATAGGTACATACTTCTTATCGTATCTCAGACTTTCTCATATAAAGCTGAAGAGATTTTTGTTGGTTTGAATGCGGTAATCTCCTGAACTACTGGTCCATTTTAAATAATATTTTTTGTTTTGGGATAGTGCATTTATCGAGGAACGATATAAGCTATAAAATATCACGCTATAATGAATAAAAGCCAAGAAAAGATAGTTTGTCATAATTATACGAATGTAATTTAATTTGTTTGCAGCCAATTATGAAGAAACGCGTTCGAAGGTCTGGTATTCGGCACTACTGTTCTCCATGCTCATTGGCTTCACCCTCGCATTCATTGGAGCCATCCTGCTTTTCAAGTATTACGCTGAGGTAAATTGCTTCTTTAGTGACTTATATCGAACTAGACAAGTCATCAGTTTAAATATGTATGACATCATAATTAACGTGACCTGACGTTCCGTTTTAAACGGGACTGTCACTTTTATAATTACGAGTCCGCGAAATGAACTCTGGGACGCAAAATTGGATCGTTTTCGTAAACCAAGCGGAAATTTGAATAATCGAACCTGTATGACGACCGTTCGGACGGCGAGTGGTGTACGAGAGAGATATAGCATCATCATAACTCGCTTATTTTTGACAAAGGACTGTCGAAAAACCTTTAAGTACCTACACGTTTGTGTAGTTAATAATGTTAACCTTTTGGACACAAAGATTGTGTTTACAGGTTCTATTATAGGATCTAGCCTGACTAAATGTAAAAAAACCAACGTACCGCATTGAGTTAAAAAATGAATGGTCATGTTAGTCATGATGTAATTCCCTGGCAGACAGGAGTGTGTAACGTGATATCACATTTATAATTCTCTAAGAGTCTAGACAGATACTACAAGATAGCAGTGTAAATATAGTTCACCCTCTTCACTCTTCAATAGTATTGTAATTCATTAATTATATTATTATATGCATACATTCTACTAAATGAACTATTAGGTAAATCGAGCACAATTACAGTTTGCGTATTATGAAAATTTTTATATTTATCTGCGAAAATAAATGTAATATTCACTTTTCGCCAGTTATATTATAAGGCTCATAAATATTATACAGCAAACTTATTGTCATACATTGGGTACAGTTTGAAACTCCATACTGAAAATTTTTGAAAGCCGAAAATACTCAACTGTGTTGAAAGGCTGACTCATTCACGCCCGAATACTGAAAGGCTACTCAATTTTAAGTAGTATTTAAATATCGTGCCCTCTCTGTCATTTTTCAAAGAATTTGTAGTGACGGAACTATATTTAAGCGCGACTTAAATTGAGTAGCCTTTCACTACTAAGAGGCATAAGATTAGCCACTGTAATTAATACTCGACTTGTTTATTTGCAGCCAGAGGGCTGTGGTCTGTACAAGTTCTTCATTTCAATAAACCTGATCCTCATCCTGATTGCGAGCGGTATATCAGTCCTGCCGGCGGTGCAAGACCACCAGCCGCGCTCGGGGCTGCTGCAGTCGGGCGTGGTCGCCATGTACGTCATGTACCTCACTTGGTCGGCTCTCTCCAATGGCTCCAGGGATTGCAACACAGTCGCGACCTATCAGGTTTGTATACAGAATCACAGACAGTGTTGTACTGACTAACACCACTGATACTGAGGGCTTGGTATGAGTGTGCTTTACGTTTAAATGAGATCGAAACCAGACCGCGTTCGACGCTCTCATTGGCCGGTTCCAATGAACCAAACAATCAGAGTGCCGAACGCGGTCTCGTTTGTTAACAGAATTAATATTTAAATGATACAGCCAGGTCTTAAATCGTATAAATATATTCTATTGTATATTTATATTATCATATTTGTATGTAAAAGTTGTACAAAAATCTGTAAATTGTATGCATGTTACATGATACACTACATTATTGTTTGTAAAATTATATTGTGTATAATATACAATCATTAATTATGTATTTATTTGGATATGCTTAACCAGGACGAAATTGGATATTGGGTATGTGAGATATAAAATATCAGTTCTTGTATAGTATAATACTATGTTATGCAGTATAGTATGTTAAGTAATAAATATCTATGATTTATTTTCTCCTAGTGTATTTGTATGTAATTTTGAAAATTTTTTTTATAGCATTCTTGTAGACACAAACCATTCATTACTACTGTTTAAAATTTCATACATACATCTACATGTACATACTGAACCTGTATAAACAATGTTGGCTAAACATCCAATCTAGATCTGCAGTAAAAGCATATCAATTGAATATCTAATTTCAGGGAAAATCTATTACACTAACCTATGGGAATTTGGTTTGGCTTAGCATTTGTCTTAGATAATCTATTGAATATTATTCGCTAGTTCTCTGGTACATTTATTTAAAAATAACATGTGAGTATACAAATATAATATATTTAAATGATTTCTCAACAGTCATCCTTCGACAAGCAGTCTATCATCGGGCTGGTCATTTGGGTGTGCAGTGTATTGTACTCGTCAATCAGAACTGCGTCCTCCTCCTCTAAAATCACCATGTCGGAGCATTTCCTAGCCAAGGAAGGCGCAGGTGAATATAATATTTTCTATAATATTTATTACTAACTTTAATTATTTCAATTACTCACAACTAACAATAATTACAAGGAAAGTACTTGATGGTAAGATATATGCCACATGCTTTTTCACTTTCTTTATGAACAGGCCTGAAATGTTTTGGAATGTCGTTATCAGTGTGTCCTCTAGCTTATTTATTAATATCTTTTCTGTATTCAATGATACCATTTTGCATATACATTTTTTTCTATCTAAATTATTTTTTTGTTTTATCATGGTTTATCTTTCGTTGTTAGTTTGTGTTGCAACAGCTGGCCATATTTTTATATGAAACACAATCAGCTGTGTTCATATTTCTTTTTTTACTTTTTATGTAACACTAACGCATACTGTGATTCCTTGCGGACATAACGCGCGGCGGCGGCGCGGTCTAAGGGCAAGGAGGGCTCATTGCTAACGAAGGTAACGCAATGTACTTGGCCTTAAATCATGTTACCTTACCAGCCAGACGTTAATCGCCCAGTTTCATTATCTGCTAACAAATTTTTGCTTTTTCATTTCATTAATTTAACACACAACATCCTATATTTTTCTCTATTCTTTTAGATTAATGAAAAAGCATAGTTTTACTTATTTTCTTTTATAATCAACTTCGAGCCAGCTCCTATAAACGTACACAAGCCTAATCCTATGTCGAAGACGCAAGGTTAATTAATGGTCTTGTGTAATGATGTATATAGGTATTATTCCTTGTTAGTTCGAAGGATCGCTTACTATAACTAGCTGCTAATAGACACGCCGTCGTTTGACAACATTAGTGATGGTTATAGTATTTTTGATATTGTTTTTTTATTAAGAATGGACAGCTAGAACCATGAGTTGTAATTCAGTAGTTATGTAGAGTTTTGTTTGTACATATTATTTTGTTCCGACATATGTCATTTATTTCAATGATTTTCCACCTTGCGGACCTTGCTTTGTAGAAGCACTTAGAATCCTCAACCTACTGCAATCTGTCTTTCTTTAATAAATATTCTACAAGGTTATAATGAAGTCGAAATTATAAAGAAATTAAGACAAATTGCAGCAAGTTGGCGTGCTGCAGTGTGTACAGTTAACATACGCTTTGTTCCACTCCCACTTTTGCTTTAGTTTGCATCTAACTGCTGCTGTTGTAATGAATATAGTTAACAAGGCATGTTGGTATGCTCACTGAGCGCAGGATATAATTCTGTAGAGGGCGCTGACGGTGGCGAGGCGGGCCGTACTGAGGAGACCAAGGTGTTCGACAACGAGAGCGACGGCGTGGCCTACTCCTGGACGTTCTTCCACGTCGTGTTCGCTCTAGCAACCTTGTACATCATGATGACACTCACAAATTGGTACAAGTAAGTAGCTCTAATCTCTATCGATTTTAGGGAATTTTGTTATTATAATAAAACATTAAGTATTCGGAGTCGCGGAGAACCGGAGTTACCGGGGCTCCGGCTCGACGTGCAGGAGAAGGAACGGGGTGGTTTTTAGTCAGTAAGAGTCTGACACTCCCTCCCGCCTCACCCAGGCGGTGATTCGATGATCCCCCCCCCCCCCTTAAAAATATATATTCGTATTAAACTGTCAAACACCGAGCGGTCACCGGTGACCGCAACCTTTTGTTCTTTAAGGTTAAGAGTTAAGGTATTATTATTACTTACTTTCCATTGCCTCGTTGGCCGAGTGGTCTCAAGTGCGACTGCCGGGCAAGGGGTCTCGGGTTCGATTACCGGGTCGGGCAAAGTATTACTGGGTTTTTAAATAAATCTCAGAAGTAGCACGGAGTTTGGAAATGTGCCCGGTATAGGGCAATAGGCTCACCCTACATGGGACTCACAACATAAATAGTTAAAAGTGGGTGTTACTTCTGTTTGCACCTCTGCTTACCCCTACGGGGATAAAAGGCATGATGTTTTTTTATTACTTTCCATTAATTGTATTGCTGTAACATAATTTGATTAGTAAGTTCATTGATTTATCCTTCTAATAGCAATTACGCAACTTTTGCACAGATTCCGTATTAAAAACTATTCCTTTTAAATAAAAACACCAAATGAGAATTTCAATAAAATTATTTCCAAGGATGATTTCCAAAATACTACAACGAAATATATTTCTTTTACAGCCCGAGTTCACAGCTTTCGAAGGAGAATGTTGCCTCGATGTGGATCAAGATCACATCTTCTTGGCTGTGCGTGGGTCTCTACATCTGGACTCTGGTCGCACCAGCCATATTCCCTGACAGAGAATTCAACTAGTTGATTTCTTCCTGATTCATAAATGGATGTTTTATGTAATACTGAGCTATATCGAGTGGAAGCTGTATTATTCAGCCTTGAAAAGTATAAACTTGATTGGCGCAAGTGGAGCATAGAACAACTAATAATTATAATCTGAGTTTAATAAAATTAGTAACTTGTCTATAAAATGTTTGCTGTCAATTGTCTTTAGATTCTTGTAGAACATTTACCTCCAGTTTCTCAAAGGCTTATCAAATCAATAAACAACTATGTGTCAGTTGCCATGGTGATCAAATAAAACGACTTATACTTAATTTCATAAGTGAAGGCTACCTTTCTCAGGAACAATCAGAATTCAGAATGTTAATCACCACTCAACAAGGCAGTTAGTAGTCAGCCGGCAATCGTATTCAAATACCTATTCTAATGTTATAAGCAAATAATAAATAGCTCCTTAAAAACTTCACGATAAAGATATTCAATTTTGATACATACTTTATCGTTTCCATATTTCAATAGTTATTTTTACACGATTGTATCATTACTACAACCCTAGTAACCTAAAATGCCAAATGTCAATACATCGCTTTCTTTTATCAAACGAAGTATAATCACGCTCCTAACAACTCAACTGATATCCGCCAAGAGATTATACACTGATTGGACTTGGTCAGCCTTTCAGAAACCGAGTGTTATGTATGTATGTATGTACGTCATGTAAATCCTTAAATATAAGATCTCATAAAATTATTTTCTGTATTTTACATTCTCAACTATTGTTGTATTTCTTTATTACTGTAATTAAAAGTCTTTTAAATTCATTTATCTGCAAAAGTAATTGCATTTTTAGCATTGAAAACAGAATGGTTATTTTCTAATACTGCTTTAAATGTCTGTATCAATAACTAACAAAATAGTTTATCAATAAATTCAGTCTACCCACTATTGGTTTTGATTATTTCCTTGCCCTTATTTATGGCATAACATTATTTTTTTAATAATTTTTAACAGTATTCTAAATAGTACAGTCAGTTGGTAGTTCTACCTGGAATGTTATCCACGAGTTTTGAAAATTGGCAATATTGTAGATTTTAATGTACTCTTTGTAATTTCTATTTTGCACCCTCGAACATGCGCCGCTCGCGCCGCCATCTTAGAAAAATGGCGGCCAAAAACAGTTACAGTTATTGCAGTATCTCTTCCTGTGCATTTCAGGAGAAAAACGTTGACTACAAAATTAAACTGCTCACAATTTCCTACAATTCATGTCTAGACAGCTTTTTGCAGCAAAGTTCATTTTTATCAGTATTTTGGGAGAAAACATAACTTCCACACCACGTGAAAGTAGAGCAAGCAGCGGTTTTTTTTTATAGTTTCCCTCTTTATAGGTTTAGTGCTCTTATGATTGTGACACACACTTTAGGAACTAGCTATAATCTCCTGCCCTAAGCTATTTCTGATAAAATTCACATAGGAGAGGAGATTTCGTCTTGGGTACATACCTACTTACAATATTAAGACTGTGGTCTTGGGCACAAATGTTTGCGTCCTAGTTGTTATTTTTAAACGAAAATGCTTACAATGAATCTGCAAAAGTGCGTCTCAAATAATCCGGCCAGCAAAACTAACGCCAAAATTACTTGTATTACAAAAAAGGTACCCTATCTAGACATGAATTGTAGCAAATTGTTTTAAAAATGTTAAACTTAAACATCCTGTTAATCTAGCAGACTAAATTAACAGGGTGTTTAATTTTAATTTAGTCTGCTAGATTAACAGGATGTTAAACTTTTATTGACAACTACAATCAGTATGTGAACCATGAATTATTAAAAATAAGAATAATAAACAAAAATCTGCTCCGCGTCCTTGTAGATTGCCCCAAAACAAAAGGACGTTATATATACAATAAGCGCCAAAGGTTTGATAGGTCATATTTTCACGCAAAAGGATAGGAAGCCTTATCGCATTTATCAAAAAGCTGCATCATACGACACCCAACAAAGAAATAATCGAAGTGATAGAAGCTACATGCAACAAAGTTCGTGGAGAAATATAAATGCCCGACACGGTCCAGACAAAATTCCATCCTTTACATTTTTCGTCAACTTAGAACCAAATGAAAATAATAAAGCAGTTAAAGCAATAGAATATCTTTATCATCAACGGGTGACAATAAAAGACCCTCGAAATTCTACGACCATTGTCCAGTGTCAGAGCTGTCAGCAATAAGGTCACTCTAAAAATAATTGCATGAGCCCCACAGATGCGTCAAATGCGGGGAGGGACACAAAACTGCAGAAAAGAATCGTAACTCTCCTGCTAAATGTGCTCTGTTCTCTCGGTACCATTCAGCCAACTACAAAGGCTGTCAAGTCTACCAACAAATCTCGTCCAGAAAGTCTAATCCACATAAGGTAATCCACCAGCACCTCGCCACAAAGAGAAAAACAACGCTAAACAAACCGCACCACTACTGGCCCAACCTACTAAAACCCCATCAGTACCACATACTGCTCAACTCCGTGATAACAGAAGCTATTCTGATATTAGGTACGGCAAATAAACACAACACTGATGCAAACTCAGAATCTGAACACAACCCCCAACAAAGTCGTATGGAACAAATTCTAATCAACCAATCTAAAAAGATAGATCAACTCATCCAACAGATAGGTTCCCTCCTAAACCTACTGACCACTGTCATTTCGAAACTATATTCATAATTCCGTTACGTATTGCAACATAGAACATTAATGGATTATCATCGAACATACTTGAGCTCGGAGAAGTGACCAAAAGTAACAAATTTGACATAGTCTTGATCTCTGAGTCACACTCTTCCAAGAATAGTTTACTTACCACTTAAAGGGTTTTAATATTTACTTCGCTCCTCATCCTGGTGATGGTAAAGCTCGTGTAGGTACCGCAATAAAAATAAAAACAAATATAAAGCATAAGTACGTTGCTGGAGAATTACACTGCACAACAAATCTAGGCTACCACCATTCGACTAGATGACCGAGCCGGTTCTATCACTTTGTTTGCGGTTTACTGCCCACCAAAAGATAAAATAACTCCCCAAATGTTTGATCACTTCTTTTCGCTACTTGGAAATAAATTACTGGGGCTCTCGCATTACACTTCCGAGAGGTCGTTCGCTTAAAAGCTGCCTGGATGCTCTTCACCTCACTGCAATATCTTCTGGAGAACCAACAAGCTGGCCAGCTGATCACAACAAGTCTCCGGATCTTCTCGACTTCTTCATAACGAAGGGTATGTCATCATAGTCATCTCTATTCCTCCATAGAATCGAGCTATGATGGTTCGTCTGATCATACGCCCGTAACCCGTAATACTCACGGTGAGCACTTCAGGCATATATGCTGAACCGTCTGATGCTCTTTGCAACCGAAAAACTGATTGCTGCCAATCAGTTCTACTTCTAGGAATTCAGGGTTTTGTGAATTCCTAGAAGACAATATCCAGTTGAATACCCCTATGAAATCTCCAGAGGATGTCGATAAATCATGTGTGTAACTAACTAACCTAATTCAAGTATCAGCCTGGAAAATCTCGCCTTGCTTAGCTCGAATTCCGTCGTTGTCTCCTCAACCAGCAGATATAAAAGCAAAATGTGCTGAGAAGAGACGCCTAAGAAAAGTCGCATCAGTCACAACACCCTACCGACAAAGCAGCCCTCAACTTGGCTGCAAAACAATTAAAGTCACTACTTCGGGAATCAACTAATGTTACATTTCGAAACTTCATAGAAAGACTGTCACCGGAAGGCAAGGGCAAAATGTCGCTTTGGCAGGCTACTAAAACCTTAAAAAACGGGAGATCATCTTCATGCCCTTAAAAATGGAAACTTATGGGCCCGAACGGATGTGGAGAAGGCGGAAGTATTTGCGAGCCATTCGGAGAATATTTTCAGACCGAATGACGGTAAAGATGATTGTAGTGTCGATGATATTCTCAATTAGGATCTCAAGTTATGCCTGCCACTTATGCATACATCACCAAAAAAAACCGCAAGCGAAAGCAGAAGGCTAAACTCCTACAAAGCTCTTGGCTTCGACCTAATCACCCTCAGCCCTCACTATCTTAAAAAATCTGCCTAGAAAGTGTATTACATTTCTTGCCTCGCTCTTCAATGTCACACTAAGACTTTCATACTTTCCCAAAATCTGGAAAGTTTCGGGAATCATTATGATCCTTAAACCTGGTAAATCTCTACACGAAGCTTCGCCATACCGTCCCATTAGCCTTCTTGGTTCGTCTGAGGGAGCATATGAGCCTATGTGACGTTATTCCCAGCCACCAGTTTGGATTTCGGAAACATCATGCCACGATAGAGCAAATGCACCGGATCCACCATGAGATCAGATGCTGCTTTGAGAAGAAACAGTACTGCTCGGCGGCATTCCTGGACGTACAACAGGCCTCCGTAACGTACGATAAAGTTTGGCACAAAGGGTTATTATGCAAAGTGAAAGAGAAACTTCCTCATTTCCTCTACCTCATTGCAAGTGCTCAGAAATCCAACCACATCACATTTACCTTGAGAAGAGATAACTGCCCCCCTGTAAAATTTGGCAACAACCTGCTGTCTGATTCTGAAGTGATAAAGTATCTTGGCTTCCACCTGGACAGACGGCTTACTTGGGCTAACCACATCAAAAAAAAACAGTGACAAAATAGCATTTTGCGTTCCATCACAAGTGCTTCGTGGTTCTCCAGAAACGCGGAAATACACGAATACCTCAACATTCCGACTGTTCAATCGGAAATTGATAATTTCAAGAGGAAACCAAACACTCTTGCCAATGAACTTGCAAAACCGACGCTCACTGAGAACAGACTGAAGCGGAGCAACGTGCTTTGAAGGTAGAAGGGAGACTGGTGCCTTCGCCTAATCGTCATAACAACTAAGCTCATCAGCTTAAAGTCTTGCGACTGTTCGTCGATACACATTAAAAAAAAAGAAGAAAAAAACTATAGTCACGTCATGTTACGTCAGATAACAGTGCTAATGTAACTGTCATTATTGAAAGTATGACATTGACAACTCAGGTACACGCCGGCCCATTCGCGCAAGCGCAAACGCTAGAATTCCATTGTTTTTGTTTTGTTGTTATCAACAATATCAGCATTTCTTTTGTTTACTTTTATAAAAAAAAACGTTTTTTCTAGTTTCTACAGACATGATTACGAATTGTCATTTGTTTGCTCTAATTTCCGTCATAGTTTCTGTTAGTTCTAGTACAAATAATGAGTTTTGTAGTAAAGATCAGAAATCTTGCTCAGAAGAGCACAACAAATATAGCAGGGGTATTAAAAATACTTACCTTTATTATTACATACCATAATCAACTAATATTTGTCTAACAACTAATAATCTTGTTAGAATGTTATAAACAATAGTTGTAGACTCAACACTAACATACATATTTGACTTACAGAATTAAATGACTGGTCTTTAAAAATCAAAGAACAAATAAATACCGCTATTAATGAATATGTTCCTTGTAAAGTAGAAAATTGCAGCTGTCATAAGTCAGTAATCGATGAGGACCTGGTACCATTTAAAGGAGGCATAACTAAGGAATTATATGACAGAGCTCGTGCGAAAGCTACCAAATACCAGGTAATTAACCATTTGAGTACCGTCATAATAGACACAATTACAGAACAATAGGTTGTGGTCACCTGTGTCCTCGCGATGTTTGACAGTCTAAACAAGTGGTTTCTAGTTTTGATATTTATTACTGAGTAATAGCAAGATTATCTCATTCAATCTGTTATCTGTAAAAATTGTTTCAGATTATTGATGGAAAGTTGTACAGAGAAGAAGAATGCCATTTTCCAGCTAGATGTGCAGGTGTAGAACACTATCTTGTTGCAATTGCAGCAAAAATGCCTAATTTAGAACTAGCGCTGAATACCAGAGATTGGCCTCAAATTAATAGGGCCTGGGGCCATCCAAAAGCACCAGTATTATCATTTAGTAAGGTCCTGAAACTTAAATTTATTTGCAAATAAATTGAAAAATATTATCCTAATTTTTTTAACTGGAACATCTAAATGATCACTTACTGAAGTTGTTCCAATGTTTCAGACTAAAGATTATTATGACATAATGTATCCTGCTTGGAGTTTCTGGGAAGGTGGTCCAGCTATATCCTTGTATCCTACTGGTATAGGCAGATGGGACAAACATAGAATCTCAATATCTAAATCTGCTGAAAAGTTTGTATATATTCTTTATATTCCTAATCAAAACTACATAGTATTTAAGTAATATAGTAAACTCTAACAATAGGCTTACCCCCTATTATATGGGACTCATAACACAACTGTGAACAGTGAGTGTTACATTAAGTGCCGTAATGAGCATCTGCCTACCCCTTTGGAGATAATACACATGGTGTTATGTTTATGTATAGTAAACTGTTATAAGCAATGTTCTATTATGGTACCATAATTACTTCATGGTAAGTTGTCCTATTGTAATTTACACTTTTATAATTATTTCCAGATGGCCATGGGAAAAGAAGGAAAATAAAGCCTTTTTCAGAGGATCTCGAACAAGTGATGAAAGAGATGCTCTTGTACTACTCTCTAGAGCTGAACCTGACTTAGTCGATGCTCAATACACCAAAAATCAGGCTTGGAAATCAGATATGGTAATTAAATTTTACATGTTTTGTAGACAAATTAACCGGTGGTTGCAGATCTAAGTGAAACACAATGTGTTTTCTATGTGTCTCTTATACAAGAGGTTAATCCATAATTTGCCAGTTTACTAGTTATATAAAAAGGTTAACTAGGAATGTTAATTTACAAAATATATATATATTAATGTTTATAATTTCAGGACACCCTTTATGCACCGCCAGCATCAGAAGTGCCATTTGAAGAACATTGTAAATACAAATATTTGTTCAACTACAGAGGAGTGGCTGCTAGCTTTCGATTCAAGCATTTATTCTTATGCAAGTCTCTGGTCTTTCATGTTGGTGATCAATGGCTCGAATTTTTCTACCCATCACTTAAACCTTGGGTACACTATGTTCCTATTAGTCCCAGAGCCTCACAGGAAGACATTAAGAAGTTAATTAATTTCTTCAAAGAACATGACGATTTAGCCAATGAAATCGCAAATAGAGGCTTTCAACATATTTGGGATAATCTAACAGATAAGGACGTGAAATGTTACTGGCGTAAACTTCTAAAGAAATACGCCAAACTCGTGACTTATGATGTAGTAAAAGATAATAATCTAAAATTAATTTATTAATAAGATAAGATTTAAAAATATATAATTATATTGGCTATTTTGTAATCCTGTTGTTTTTTTTTTAATATTAACAGACTGCACTGTCCACACCTATTACCAACAGCGGCGAACTTGTTGCTAGACACCGAGTCGAATTTTGCGATATTTACTAACTTTGATTTTTTTAAATATTTATTTATTTCTCTCATCATCATATCATTGTGTAAACACAATTTACTACATATACTACAGCCAACAATTTTACAACAAATAAAACAAAAGATTGTATACAACTGTATTTTTAATGAAATACATATAATTGTAATAAGATTTATACTTAATTATTTGAGCATAATACATTACATATCCAGTAAATCTCATGCTGTTATAAAAATATAATTATACATAATTTGGGGTAATTTCATTAGAATGCTGATAAATTCATTCGAAATAATTTCAGTACTATCTATACACATTATGTTAGCTGTATCAACTCAATCAGTGCTGGAAGAACGAAGTCGAAAAGTGTATTTATTTAATGATACACTATATAGAAATTATGTTCCTATTCTACATCACCATTTGAGTCAATCTACTTCTTTCCACTATCTGAGTATTTGTAAGATTTCAATACCCAGTACGCAATTTAATATGGCTTCAATCAGTCTCAAATATGAATCACACCAATGTAAAACAGGCACTTTTGACCCAAAAAGCTTTTATCGTATTGTGAGCTTGTTGAATAATTGATAAAACTAAATATGGATTGAGATATTGACACAATATCTCATCAAGTTATTAATCAGCATCAGAAATGCAATAAGTGATTGGAGAACAATCCTTAAAATAACTTCCATCATATTCTAACCCAATATTAGAATATAAATGCCATACTAGTTTTATAAATGGCTATGCAACAACCCACACAATATGATAAAATAACATGATTTAATCACTGTAATAAGCACCATTTACTTGAGTTCAGACATACCAGCATAATTTCATTTTACTATAGCTAAAATATGGAATTAACTATTAAAGTACATACATATAGGGAGATAGGGAATCAATAATCATTGCCCCGTTTATTTGTAGTTTCGAAACACTTGAAATTATCTGAAAAGTAAATGGTTGATTAATTAAAAGTTGATTTACTTATGCTACGAAAGAGTCAGCCATAAAGACGATGATCGACAAAAATGTTCAAAGTCTTTATTAGGACTGACTCAAATATTCTATACAACTTGGTTAATTAATTGGTTAGTTTACGCTCAAGTTGGTCAGCGATGGCGAGTAGGAAGTCCTCGGTGTGTAAGTACATGCCCTCCTTGGTATTCTTCAACCCGTGGATACAGATAACCAAGTCCTTGGTCATTTTACCGCTATCAATGCACTCGACGCACGCCTGCAAATGACATTAAGATTTTTAAAGTGACCCATCCATTTTGTTTAAATGTGCCTGCCTGATATCTAATACATTATTATGAAGATAATACAGTAGTTAATGGTGTGCTAGTGCATAAGTAGAACATTCATTAATATGCTCGAGTATTTTCGTACATAACATGTAGTCTTGAATACCAGTCGTGAATTGTATAATGCAAAGACTGACCTTGATTTTTTTTCTAAAATGCCAGACTTCGGAAATATCAGTTGATATAAGCAGTAGGTATTTGTGCTCTTCTGATATTTCATTTACTTAATAGCAGTAGGTACGAATAATCTAGATTATGCCAGTTATTAAAAATATAATTGCATGACTATAATTGAAGTACCTATGAGTATTTTTAGCTAGCGCATTCAGCTTGTGTTAGAATACAACAGCGAGAATACAGCAGCATTCGATACCCGTTACATATAATTTCAAGAATAAAATATTGACTTATTTCTGCACAATAAAACCGCAGGTATCGTTCGCAAGTGTCATCGACCTCGTTTTGAACAAGATCTACTTGTTTTACCACTTTTACGGCCCTGTTTCAACAACTGGATTTTAATTGGGAACTCACTTTTTCGGAAATTACTTCAGCTTTGAATATTACAAAATAAAGTTTATATTATCTGATTTTGTACTACGTAACACTCGGTAGTTTCTGCCTACCCCCATAGGGCCAAGGTGTGCGTTTATCTGTGAGTATGTATCCAATAATCAAAATATCGCTTTGATTATCTAAATTAGTTTTCCCCACCCGTAATGATTGCCTACTTTGATAGTAATGAAGTGATTATCAATTAATAAACTGCAAAGGCTTGATAAAACAAAATAGGAGGTGTCGTGGACTTGACTTATTTGCTGCATTCCAATGATAAAAGGCTTTTTTTCGTTGTGTAGATAACAGGACTTACGCAAACTCGTTATCTTATGAAATAGGTAAGTATGTAGCTTTCCCTGTAACAATATTTGGTCAATAACAATTCCTTGCAAAGATATACCAAATATCTACAAGTATACATGTTTTCCTACCCGTCGTGGGTAACGGCATAATCTTTGAGATGACATAATGTTTAGTTACGACATAGAAATAAGCATCTAGGTGTACACTGTACTGTTTTCTTTGAACTTATTTTTCAATGTAGAGATAATAATTTAGATTTCATGGAGCAAGGTGACTTACGTCTTCAAGAGCGAGTGCGAATCGTTCTAGTTCGGGTGTGTCGTCGAGTTTGGCGCGGTGGATCAAGCCCCTGGTCCAGGCGTATATAGAGGCCACGGGGTTGGTGGAGGTGGGTTTGCCTTGCTGGTGCATACGGTAGTGCCTCGTCACGGTGCCGTGCGCCGCCTCCGACTCCACCGTGCGCCCGTCCGGGCACATCAGTACTGACGTCATCATACCCAGGGATCCGTAACCCTGTATAGCAAAGGCTTAGTTAAAACTACTAAAATAACTTGTAGGTAACAAATTCGTGAGAACATTAAGAATCTGTAGTCTTTCTCTTCCTAGATAAAATATTGTTGTAACATTGCGCTTTTGAACAGATAGGTACCAACAGACTTTATAATATTTGTAGTTATAATTTTAACTATCTATCAGCTAGTGGGTCAATAATCGTGTTAATAAAGTTATTGACATATATATGTACGTGGCGCACAATTATAGTAAGTAATAACAATAAAAACATCAATGCTCTTCTGATAACTTTTTATCGGAACGCCGAATTCTAGCCAACTCCGATTAAAACTGGATATTGCCAAATGTTATTAAATTAAAATGGCTGTATTTATAGGTATATAAGTATATACATAGTTTTTATAAATTCGTCTACCAGCAGTTGGTTTTATATTTATCATCTCATTAGCATACAATTTCTGTGGCCGAAACGAAGGCGTGGCATTTTATAAATAAGTTTGAAAGTGTGGTATGTAGTCAATTATATTACAAACCTGAGCTACAACGTCGGATTGCACATCGCCATCATAGTTTTTGCAGGCCCACACGAACCCGCCGGCGCCCTTAATAGCTTGGGCCACCATGTCGTCGATCAAACGGTGTTCGTACCATATTTTAGCATCTTCGAACTGCTTCTTGTAATCGCTAATATCAAACATAATCAATCAATGATAAATACTGGTTGCAACGGATTCATTAAGCATAGATTACATCGCTGATTTGATAGTACAAACATGAGCCATTTAATCCTCAAATCAGTGAAAAAAGCATTATATAACAGAACGATTCCTTTTAATACCTTTGATAAATTTCTTCGAAAATGTCCTTGAAGCGGCCGTCATACTTCTTCATAATTGTATTCTTAGTTGACAAATACAAAGGCCATTTCTTCTGTAACGCCACCTGATCAAAGACAATACACATTTATGACGCGCGTGCAATTATTAACATCAGCAAATAGGTACATACTCTCAATAAGTATCTCAATAAGTTTGTGCCTGATAGGTATTACGATTCATTGAAGCAAGGTCGCGGTGTCCGAACAATTAAACTCTCCGATAGTTTTGCCTCGAGTGCGTCATACTATATTTTTATTCCCGATTGTTAACAAAATAAACAAGATGAAAAACAGATCGATTGAACACATAACCTTACGATGGTGATAGAGTATACTTGAAATCCGGGTTACAAGTTCAAATGTTGACAACATTTTAATCAAGGATTCAAACCTGGAAGCTAGAATGGGCGAAGGCGCGGATTGATTCATCGGTGTTGTACATAGCCATGGCTACACCTGGTCCTTTGAAGTCATACAAGGAACGCCTTTCCACTGTTCCATCTTCTGCTGTGTAGACCAATTCCACCTGCAGATTACAAAATCATATTTAAAAATACACCCAAGAGCTAAACAGACACAAAACTACGCCAGCTCCACAATTTTGTAATCATAAAACTAATTAGGATTGTTTAATTACCTTTCCGGGTTTTGGTATGACCAAGTCCTGTGCTTTGTACTGGTCTCCGTGAGCGTGACGTCCGATCACCATGGCCTGGGTCCAGCCAGGCACAACTCGAGGGATGCTCTTACAAATAATGGGCTCACGGAACACAGTACCTCCCAAAATGTTACGGATCGTTCCATTAGGACTCAGCCACATCTTTTTCAATTTGAACTCTAAAAAGAAACATTTTTTTATCCACAAGCGGCTCGCATTAACATTCGATGTATCGTGTGAATCTTATTACTTATACAAATCACATAGACATACATTAGGAGTTAAAATGAATAACTTATAAAAGGTTATTGACACCAAAATACATATTATTACAAAACCAATGTACGCAACTAAGACGTACTAACAAAATAAGCAATATATGGCCTTTTAGAGGAATTTTTTACGTGTTTTTGTCACGCCTGTACGGCGGCAGCTAAACACGGCAGTTTGTGTAACCCTTGATCTGCTGGTGTAATTTTCGGCCTTCTTATAACTAGTATAGAATTTAAAACTGTTGAGCACCTACATTTCACATAATTATGTGTACAACAATCCGGTAGCATCACATATCTGTTAATTATAACGAATGAAATGGTTCGTAAAACATACATGTGCGGATAATTATAATTACAACATGTGTGTCGCTGTCGCCGACCTATTTTACACGATACTGGAGTGTTAATCAAACCTTTCACTCACAGACGAGACAGATGACACATGTCTCGTCTGTAAATGTACATATACTTGGGATATGGGTCATCAATGATACTCTACAATGTTACTTCAGTTAAATGATAAGTGATTTATAATTAACATTAGATTGATTGATAATTTCATTTGTCACGCACGGTTAGTCACGTAACTTATATCTTATCACATTGCAAACCCCTGTATTAATATTTTAATTTAGAAGTTATTAATTCAATACCTAAATCAATCATTGGTATTTTTTTCATGAGGGATCAAGAATTTTGGGACTTCAGTTGAATTTAGTAACAAGTTTTCATTTGTGTATTAGAATACCTTGGATATATCATAAACATTGCCTGCTACTGCAACCATTTTGTAGTGAATTCAGATAAAGAAAATATAAACTACCTATTTGTTTATCAAGCTGTTTTTATAAGACCTTTTTATATCTTATGTCACATGTATAACTACTTTTTAATGCAGTTGCTACTGGTTACACCGAGTAATTAAATGAAAACTTTCACATTGCATAAAAATACTCAGGAAACATACCTTCGACTCTCTGTTCATCAGGAGTGATGGTGGCGCATTTGATACCAACATTGTGCTTGAGGATAGCATGGGCTGCATCAATAGTGACCTGGTCATCAGTGGCATCACGGTGGGGCAAACCGAGGTCATAGTAAAGGCAGTCCAACTGTGGAAATACTTTTAGTTAGTATCATAAAAAAGCTAAAATTCTACATAATATTTTGCAAACAAAATGACGTTTCGTTGAGTCTGCAAAAGTTAAACAGTATAACCACACATTTGTTTAATTTATGATTATACCAACATTTCCTAATTTAATCAAACAGTAGATAAATAATTATAAATAGCATTTACGTAAGTAAAAATGCATGCATAAATATACCAAAGTTAATGTAAACTAACAAAATGTTTTATAACATAAGCTATAGGCTATATGAGATATCAGTGGTAACAAATGATAACTAGTGTAGTAAACGGTAACATTGGCACAATATAATGAGATAAGAAAAGTTTGCAGCTCTAATACTTGATAACCTGCTTTGAATTACAACACAAGTGTACATACATACAATATTATTATTATTATGTAGTGAACAAGTGAAAGCTATTGTTAAGATCAACAGGTTTTAATGCATCTGCCTGCTCTTTGTGTTGAGGGCACAAAGTGTACAAAAAATGCTACCTGCAGCTTGAACAAAAACCCAAAGAGCCAGCTCACCCATTTAGAAAAAAAAAAAATAACAAAGCAATTTTTATTACACATTTTTCTTTTTGATAGCTATATATAGAAAAACTGCCAGTACCTGAACTATTTAAAAATACCATAAGCATAGTTATTTGTCTGTTATGGAACTAAAAAAAGTTGTGTGGAGATTTAGTATTTTTGACACATTTTTAGCTAAGACTATACTTGATATTAATTTCATTTAACTAAATATGTTATGAATAATAGCTTAATAATTGTAGTGGTTTTGGAGTAACAGACAATTATTGTAAACTATCTTACCTTAACATAGGGGAATATAAGTTTTTCTTTAATCATGGACCAAATGATGCGAGTCATCTCATCCCCATCCATTTCAACAACTGGGTTCTTGGCCACAACTCTCTTAGCAGTGCCATCTGAAAGACACAAATTATTATTCCACATACTCAAAGATAAAACAACATTTGAAACCAAAATGATGTAAAATTTCTACTTCCTCTGCTTGTTATGAATAGTAGTTCTATTATTAAATAAAATGGGTCTAGCCTTGCATAATTAATGAATAAAAGTTTCAAACATAGCAAATTATCTGGTCTTAAAATAGCTATTAATTTATAAGATCCAGACATTAATAGATTCGTACTTGATTAATTAAAAGGTAAATATTCTGTTGCAGTATGTACTCTTCCTTGTATTGGACAAAAATCCGATGGAATAATATAATATTAAACAAATGCCTATGAATAAATCAGCGTTATTGATAAAAGACCACAGTTACCTAACCAAAAATCCTGTTAAATACAATCACAATACTCACAATTTCTTGACTTCAGCACGCTAAGATCTGTTACGAATTTGAATAACTTCCTGCTATTACCGGCCATTTTTTAAAGTAAAATAAAGCTGAGGTTTTAATAAATTGCTATAAAAAAAAACTAAACTGCACACAATCTAACTGCAAGTTCTTTCAGCATCAGTTGCCAAATCGGAAAGTTCGACTTCGATACCGGCTAAACTTGCGTGTGCAACTGTGGATGAATGGAATGACAGAAAAAATGACGTGAGAAAGCACTGCGCGGTAGACTAGATGTATAACATTGCTTCAACTAGTGTTGTACCACCGTGTTCGATACATTTTTATCGAAAGTCTAGTTTAAAATTGGGCATTTGCCACCTAGTCAAATTCAATATTGAACTGTGAAAAACGAGAGTATTTATGAATTTTACGAGATTGAGGATTGTGACGTCACGTTTTTTTTAGCGTCAAACAGTATACTTATTTCTTCCAAAAATACAGTAAGAATACTAAAATTAAGTTGGTAATGAAATTAATTAATGAAAATGTCATTTTTTTTTATTGAACAATCTAGTTATTTTTGATTTAAGCAAGTATCAAATTTACGTGGCATTTTGGAAAGATATAATAATATTCAATTGCATTCATAACATAAATATCGTATCGTGATGATCGAAAAAAAGCTATTCTAGTCGAAGAAGGGCCGATTTTCATGACTATGATTATCGATAAATGCAGTTATTTTTTGATATTTTCAAAAATGTGGTATAAATTTTACACCGTACATTTTCGCTGAACATTCAGGTAGATATTGATCACAGCTATCACTACTTACACCATTTACTGGACAACCTGTATATTAGAAAGAATATTTCGTGTTGAAGTAAACAGGAAAATCTATAAAACTCCAGTGTCAAGCAGTGTTACTAAGATTAGTTCATACTTGTACTTCATACAAGATTTTCTTCTAACTTTCTTCTCTACCTTATCTTTTTCCAGACTCTACACAATGATAAATAGTATTAACAAACGAACAGACGGATCCCCTGATGGTGGACTCAGTATGTTAGTCTGTCTCTAGAACTTTTAACTGGTTGTGACTACCAATTCTGACAAGAACTCACCAAATGCATGGGAGATAGCATCGTGTGCTAGTGCATTTGATGTGATCTATTGTTGAGACCGCAATTACGACAAGATTAGACATATAGTGTGCTAAGCTCTGATAATACAGTGTACTATATTTAAGTATCATAGTCGCATGATGTCCAAACTTGGACTGTGGTATTGTGGTATTTATTTTGTCATAATAAAATACACTGAAAGACTCTTCGTCATCATATTCAACGATTAAACAGTCGGTTTCTGAATTTAAAGAAAGTTGAATGAGCAGCAGAGCAGCGAGTTCTAATGAACCATGTTCAGTATGCTTCGTTGAGGTTACTACTTCCGTAATGATCGTAAAAATCCATATAATTTTGTTGGAGGACCGTAGATTAAAAGAAAGTAAGATAACTGAGAGTATTAGGATATTAATATTTCATTTATGTGTACGCAATATTTTACATGACCATTTAAGCATGGAGAAGCTCTATGCTAGGTAGGTATCGCATTTGCTAATGGTCGATCAAAATTCGATCCGGAAAACTTTTTAAATCGACAAATTGGCACTCGACTAGCGAAATCCTATGAATTTTTGCGTCGATTTATAAGTGTGGATGAAACTTGGATGTACTGTGTACCACTGTACTCCAGAAAGTAAATAGTAGTCGAAATAATCTATTGGACTAGGTTACTGGGTGAACCAACCCCTAAGAAGGCAAAAACAATTTTATCGGCCAACAAGGTCATGGCGATTGTGATTCAGGAAGCGAAAGGAATAATCTTCATTGATTATTTGGAGAAAGGCTTTTGCCTATCAATTAGCGAAAAAAAAAATTTAAATAAGTTGATTTTAATTATCAGGCCGGAAACTTTTCAGTCTACACACGTATTTTTTTAGCGATATTTTTGTAACTTGACATCACTAAGTCGATAAATGCTGAATTTGACGAAATGAATCAGTGTGACCAATAACTTATTTTCTACCTTTTTAGAAATAATTTAAATTAAAAAATACCAAGTTTAGTTACTTCCATTTTATTCATAAACACCATAAATTATAAATACCGTTAGCAATCGAAACATAATAAACGAATAGATTTTCTCTGAAAATTTATTTTATAACTAGCGGACTGGCTGTTTATCTATATAGTCTTATAATTCAAACTATGCTTGTTGGACAAAATCATTTTGATGTTGAATTTAATAACACTTTTATTAAACTATCTTGGATAGGGTTAAATTTATATGTCCAAAGCAACGTCTTTCCTGAAACTCTTAATATACTATTAATGAGCCATGAACGTAATAATAACGTCACTTAGAAACAAAATTGGGCAGTATCAGTAGAATTTTAATTCTTAGATATGCAACACTTAAAGTGTAACGCACACAAATACATTGTTAGAGCGAGAGAGCGACTTGCAAGTTAAAATTTGAAAACAAAGCGTCAGTGCAGTTTGTTCACCGCACGTACTGTGCGAGGAACGGCAGGGCTACATCTTTATCGGATATTATCAGTTGCTTTTGCCGGTTGCCGCCTTGCTGGAATTCTTCGTTTTGCCGTACACCTGTTGCCCGCTGACTAGCTGAGAGTGCTTAACTCACGAAACGGACAGACCCAACCGGTAATAAATTATAATAGTTCTGTTTTTAATTATTTCGTTATCGAATCCAGTCACTTGCAAATGCCAACTCTACCAGCGCACCGGGCACGTCGAGCTGCGAGCTACGGACTAGGACGTATTGTCTGGGAGCATTTTAGGCATATCAAATAGTTTGCAAATTGTTACAGAATAATAATTTCAGTGCCCTCAATTCACTTTTCGCTCATCGTTACTTTTGTATGTCCGTCTAAATATATTTACTTCGAACACCGCCTCTTCTATAATCTTCGTGAAGTTTTTAATTTGATACACAATACATTTCAGTTTTTATTGAAGTTTATGACTGAAATAATTAAGTACGCCACTAATCTGGAAAACGGCTTCAGAAAAGATATAATTGTCATGGTATTGAATGAAACGTGTTATTTATTTATAACTTAGAGAATTTATAGAAATTTTCTTTGTTCCTTGAAGTGCTGAAAAATATAGGTCCAGTAATTACGCGGATATTTTTAGCTGTACTCGTTCTAGTGGTATTAATTTGTGACCTATATTATTGTTTAGTATCTGGATGCTTCATAAAAATTGCATGACATGATAGAAAATCCGGTCGTAAATTCATTTTGTGTAGCATAATCTGATAGCAAGCTACGTGATAGGTACCTACTGTACTAATTACATTCACACGCGTTTTCTTATCTTACGAAAAAAAATATTTTTTGCGCAATTATGTAATTAAACTTGATTTAAACTAAATAATCCACTCACATAATATGAAGGTAAATAAACAGCCATAGACATATCAGGGAGCCATCTATTTAAGATTAATGAAAGTGCCTCTCCTTCAGAGATGATCTATAAACTGTGAGAACATAATAAGCATAGCATTTTTAAATTACCATGCTAAATCTTTGAAAAGGTAGAAGATGATGTTTTATAATTTTATTTATACTTTGGTCTAGCCATATTATTTATTTGTAATGTTTTTCTTATTTACTACAATTTCTTGAAACAATATTAGTAATTGAACTATAAATGACAGTAATTAATAAGATCTAATTAATAGTTTGCTTGTTTTAAACTATGCCTAGAACTATAATATTCTCATATAATGATACATGAGAATATTATAGATGAGTTTAGTTAGTCGGTATGAACCTATGTTAATAATTAATTATTTAATTAGATTAGATATACAACCGTTTCTTATACAAAATAAAGTACTGTTACAAGATAACTTTATTATACATAGCATATTAATAATGTTGTATACTTCATTTGTTTTTGTTACAGTAACTAGCCATTATGTCTGGGTCAGTGAGATTACTATGCATTCGCAAGCCTCTGCAGCGGTCATGGCATTACCGGCTTTCAAGTTCTTCAGCATCAGCACCCCCTACTCCTGGTGTACCATACTCTAAGCTTAGTGTAGGTATACCTAAGGAAATCTGGGAAAATGAGAAAAGGTATTAAAAAGTAGTAATAGTGCAAATAATATACAACATTTTCTAGAACACCAGCATTAAGTACTTGATATTTGATATTTTCAGAGTGGCTGTAGTACCAGCAGTAGTTAGCAAATTAGTAAAGAAAGGTTTCAGTGTTAATATTGAAGAAAATGCTGGAGCATTAGCTAATTTTCCAAATAAAACTTATGAAGAAGTAGGAGCAAAAGTTACCAGCCTAAAGGACACATTCCAATCCGGTAATCATCTTTATGTACTGTGATAAATAGAATATTGTACTTTTTATTTGTTTAGAATATGATTATAACCTTTTTATTAATTACAGATATCATCTTGAAAGTTCGTCCACTAATAGACCATGAAGTACAAAGTGTTAGACCTGAAGGGACACTTATATCATTTTTATATCCTGCACAAAATCAAGAACTGATAAAGAAGCTGGCTGATAAAAATGTGAATGCATTTGGTAAGAACATTGAAAAAGAAAATAGTTTTGTTATCAGAAAGTATAATGGCCTTGGATAGTTTGAATTTTGAATGATTCTTTTTATATTTGTAGCAATGGACTGTGTCCCTCGTATAAGTCGCGCACAAGCTTTCGACGCACTCAGCTCCATGGCAAACGTAGCTGGATACCGTGCTGTGATTGAGGCTGCGGCCCACTTCCCTCGATTCTTTTCTGGTAAGTTTTACTACTTAAATGTTTTTGTGTCCTTGAGGTATGTATTAACCTTTCCTCACTACATTTGTAGGGTTTTACAAATCATATCTCGTCAGCTTCTTTAAAACTATAATTGAATCAAGTGCTGTCACAAACTAACGTCTTAAATCATTTATCTATAAAAAAATCTAATATCATACCTTTAATTTCAACATGATCAAGTATCGTCATGAGACTGCTATAAATAAAAAATAAATTCTTAACTTATTACTTGTTAACAGAACTCAACAGAATGATTGAATGATTGTTACTTGCGTCCAGGTCAAATGACGGCTGCAGGCCGTGTGCCGCCATGCCGCGTGCTAGTGGTGGGCGGTGGCGTGGCCGGGCTGGCCGCCGCCGCACAGGCTCGCTGCATGGGCGCCGCCGTCAGGCCTTCGACACCCGCCCCGCTGTGCGCGAGCAAATCGAGAGTCTTGGGGCGCAGTTCATCACAATGGATATGAAGGTCAGATCAACAATCTCCACTCTATCTGCGTCTAAATCCACGACATGTTGATGATCGATAATGTATTTGTTCCCTATATTTCACTAGTTCATGGCAGAACACCTTTTTATTACTGCTCTTATTGAGGTATCGTAATGGCAATAAAAAGTACCGTAAATAACTTGCGATGTTGAAAATTAAAGTAGAACGAGAGAATTAAGTTAACTATTGTAGTAAACTTTTGCTGTTACACCTGAACAAACGTATTTCGTTTTTGTTTGTTGTGGTTCATAATATCATCACTCGTCACTTGCTATATTGCCGTGCACCTACGAGACCTGCAGCATGATCTATGTATAACTGCGTAGAAAGCTGGCGACGTTAGTGTAACATTGTACATGGAGCATTACATGGGCAACTGTGCGGTCAAAGTATCCGTATCACGTTCTCGTATGACCGCGGACTTGCCATAATGCGATGTATCACGTGTATTGTCAGTGTTATCAAGCGACGTGTGCTTATGAAATTATTTGTTTACAGAGGTGGGTGTACCCTAATCCTAGTGGTTGGGGTGCAGCGTCCACCCTGCCCTTGGCTGCTATCGCCAATGGTAATTTCCAGATCAAATGACTCGTAGTTCTAGATACGTAGTCACGTAATATTTATTCACTTTATTTGTAACGTTTGTTTTGTTCTGCTAAATCTTAAGTCAATTGCAACAGTCAATGCACCAAACCTTGAGATGTAATGTTACCACTTCGTGATCAGCTACTTTAATTATTATTTTTGTTTATTTTCATTCATTATCTAACTTTAAAGCATGCTTGATTCATTGTTTGTCTATAATAATCATGAGAGTATTTATCTATGTCTAACGTCATATTATATAATATACCTACAGATGTTAACATTTCATTCTCGAAAGGTCAATGTTATAATGTATGCAATTTTTATTACTTAGGTACATTGTATAAGTGTCACTCCCCCAAAACGACAGGTTTATCGACTTACAAACATATTTCCAAGTTGTAGACCTTGACAGCATTTCATAATTTTGGTTTATTGCTGAAGATAATACGAGTGTGTAATAACGTACGAACATACTCTGATTGATAAAAGTAAATATACTCACAAAGATAAAAGTTCACACAGCCTGTTGATTAATCTTCTACGTAATGGGAATGTAATGTAAATAGTTCTACATAAGTATGTTCACAACAAATTAGCTAAACGTACGAAAGAGTGTCGCGGTTCCAACCAATTATAATTCCACTATATTTGGCGGCTACTTGTTTAGCAAGTTGAATGACCCTTGTAACGTATGTTTATTTGCGTCGTTTAGGAGGAAGGTGCTGGAGCAGGCGGATATGCGAAGGAGATGAGTCAAGAGTTCCTCGACGCTGAGAGGGCACTCCTCGGGAAGGAGGCTAGAACCTCTGATGTGGTTATCACCACTGCTCTTATACCTGGGAAACCAGCGCCAGTTCTGATTCTCGAGGTATGTTTTTTATCATTATGTAACAATAAATAGAGAAAGATAATCAAGTTCAAGATCAAGCGACGCAAATATACGTGAAATAGTCTAGAATTATCGACTGCAATTTTGGTAACGTCTTTATTTCTTATGTAATAAGAGCCGGTATCTTTACAAATACATAGATGTGTGAAGAATAATGTACCGCCGAATCACAGACACCTCATATATGTTATCATTAGGTTACATTATTTTATTTTCAATAATATGATACTACCGAATTAACATTATGTAAGTAATGTACAACACATAATATACAAACCGTATCTAATTATTTGCACATTCTAACGTATGAGGTAAATAAACATTCTGAGTTTTGGAATGAGTAAGTACTTCCACGCTATTCTCGCGAATACGAAGCAAATACAGCTAAATATTTATCTATATGATTTACAGTTTGTTGTTAGTTAAAAGTAGCGCCTACACTAGCATATTAATAAAATAACAGTAAACTCACAAATATCAGAGACAGATCTGAGATCTTTTCTTGCGAATGCAGTTGATATCAATGTTGCTTTATAATAATAGTATTATAAATTAACTGTTCATTACATGTACATGTATTTGTGAAGAATTGTTGTGTAAAGAGTGTGTCTGGTTGAAAAGACGCGTTATTGTTAATTTATTGGATTACTTGTGTAATAATGTGTTGTACCTACATTGTAAAGAGAAAGAAAACTGCGAGTATTATAAAAATGTAAAGACTTAAAGTAGGTGCGTTAGCCTGCATAGTCATTTTTGTATCATGTTTCTTGTAAACTGACCGTGTCTGTTTTATTAATGACTGTATGCTTTTTTATGTTAATAAATAAATTTATAAACAACAAAGACATATGTAGGTATATAAATAATTTCAGACTGATTTATAAGTAATTTCGTAATCTAATAATACTTTACGGGCAAGGGGTCTCGGGTTCGATTCCCGGGTCGGGCAAAGTATTACTGGGTTTTTCTCAGTGATAGCATGGAGTCTGGAACTGTGCCCGGTATATGGCAATAGGGCCACCCCCTATTACATGGGACTCATAACATAAATAGTGAAAAGTGGGTGTTACATTATAGTGGCATTAAATGCCGTAATGTGCACCTCTGCTTACCCTTTCGGGGATAAAAGGCGTGATGTTATGTAATAATACTTTACTCGACTGCCAGGATAAACGCCGAGACCTCGAGCTTAGCAATGAACAGTAATATAAATATGTGTCAATAAATAATGACATAACAGATATGATCGTGAGAATTATTGTTTGTTTGTCCGTGTTATCAATATCTTGCCACCAGTTATATGGAGCAGATCTGTACAACTTACAAGTATTGGTAAATAAATTATTAAGTAGTTTCTGTTTATATCAAGGTCTTTAGTTTGCTTAAGTAGGGTATTTACTTAAGTTCTGTCAAAGTACTTAACATTGATATTAATCATTGGAATATCTCTAAATAAAATATGAATTACCTACTTTCTTTTATAAACGAACATTACCTACGCGATGCGGTATAAAGTGAGGTGATAATTTCGGAATACCCGGAATACTCTAATTCGAGACGCGAAGATGTGTATAAAACTGAACCGAGTGTAGCGCTAGTAAATAATAAATATTGATATAATTAAACGCAGTTTGATCTAGTCGTTCTATAAATAATTTTAGGTTTTCCTTGAAGTTTTACGGGATTCGTTCATTCCTAAGAATACAAGTACAAACAATAAACATTAAAGCTCCATTTAACGATTATTTTTCTATACAGTAGCCATTATTATGAATAGAGAATTATCAGTACAGAGACCTCGTGCTTATTTATGTGTACTAATAATGCAATGTTATCTAACCGATGGGCAAGCGTACACGATAAAATAATTTGATCGCTGGAGATAAAATGAAATTCAATCGGTACACTTAATCACTAGGTAATTCGCAATGTTGGAGCACGAAACTGATATTATGACGTAGCAATTACCTTCAATTAATGTTCATCGTTGTTGAAACTGGACCTAAATTAGCTATTGAGTTCATAAGCCAATAACGAAGACTAGTTGTTTGCTCCCAAATGGGTTCGATTCCCAGATTGGCAGTGTAAATTATGTTTCATGAGACAGTTTCAAGCTTTACGACGTTCGTGGTTCGAAACTAGTAGAGTTACCTCGCCAGTCAGTTACGTGAATAAGCCGATCAACAATAAATTATTAATTTAGTATGTCTCAGGATGGCAAAGTGTTATTATATTTACATTTTCTTTTATTTAGGATGCTATCCGTGACATGGCTCCCGGTAGTGTGATAGTAGATTTGGCAGCGGAGATGGGTGGCAATGTTCAAACGACGAAGAAAGGTCAGATCTCCAAGATACACGGAGTGACGCACATCGGTTTGACAGACATGCCCAGCAGGATGCCTGCACACGCCTCCACGCTATACGCTAACAACATCTCCGGATTCCTGTTCAGCTTGGGTAAGTATTTTTTACATACCTCTACCAATATGTGTGGAGATGAGGGCCCAAAGTATCGCACACAACATCCTCCGCCTGTTTATATTATGTTCTTCTGGAAATTTCGATACAAAAAGTATCTTATAGAACGTGTGGTAGTTACTACAATATTTAGAAAAACTGTGCACGACGGCAATACTAGGTCGCGAGCCGCCCGCGACGTGTTCCGAACGTGTCCGAACCATGACGAAAGGGCAAGTTCAGACACGAACATCAAAGGCGCGCGGCGGCGATCCTTTGTTCCGCGCCGCCGCTGCTTGGTTTGAACTTGCCTTTGAGCATGTACAAACATGTTAACGTCGCAGAGCGGCCGAGTCGCGAGCCCCGATCAACAGGAATTATCTTGTCCGCGCGGCTCGCATATAAAAGGACGCCTCCTTGCGAGGCGCCCTCAGTTGTCAATCAGTTGTAAATAAGTTGTCAATGAGTAGTCAATGGGTAATCAATGTATTGTCAGTGTATGTAGTCGTTATGTATAAAGTCGATCATAGCCAGTCGATCGTAATATTGTCAATTTCATCTCCACTAGTGTTGTTAACATTATCATCGTAATAAAGTATATCAGTGTACAAGAGTTCTCCAGTTTCATTATACAGTCCACTTGCTCTCCACAAGGACCCAAGCTCGTCGAGGACTGATCCACAGCCTGATCCCTCCGAGCCCGTACATTTTCTGGTCCTTCGAAGCCGAATAAAGTTCTAGCAAGATGGTGTTAACACGCAGCCATAGTGGAGAATCCAGGACAGAGCAGACCCAGCAAGAGCTTTCAGTGACCGCCGGACCGGGTGCCAGCAGCTCGGCACCAGAATCGAGCTCGGTCCGAGTGACGGACACAGGAAGCGGGTCTACGACGACTACCTACATCGACGCCACGCATGGTACGCTCAAGCCCAGCGATACAAGGTCACGCCATTCAACATATTCGAAGAAAAAGCGCCTCGCAGAGCTGGAGGCTAGGAAACGGCTGGCTGAGATGAAAGCCAGTGAAGCGCAGGCAAAGCGAGAACTGCAGGAAATACAACTGCAGTGCACCTTAGCCGAAGCTGAGTCGAGTGACGACGAGGAGTTGGTGGACGACCTCGCCTCCGTGAGGATTGGAACGTGGCTAGCGCGACCCGCGCCGCCACCCGGAGGCGAGACTCGACCGCCGCCACACGACGCCAGGGGCGGGAGCATCAGCAGGGACGCAGCCCACGCAGCGACAACGACGGCGAACGGCGCCCCGGCGGGCGCGCAACCGCCGCGAGATGACGACAGCTACAGAAAAGTGTGTGAATGTGTGTGTGCGAAATCAAAGGGCAATATCGCGAGTGAAGTGTCACACGGTAACGTTAGTGATAAAGTGATAGACGTACGAACACTCGCCGCGGCACTAGCGCAGGTCATGCGCAGTTCAAGAGAGCCCCCGAAGTACATGCAGCGGCTACCAGTCTTCGACGGCAAACCCGGTGAGTGGATAGCTTATAAGGCCACGTATTGTGACTCACACACGTACTTTTCTAGCGTAGAAAATGTAGCTAGGATTAGGATAAGCCTCAGAGGCGCCGCAAAGGAAGCTGTAGGGAGCCTATTATTCAGTCAATCTGACCCTCAGGTCATTTTAGATGCACTAGAAAGACGTTTTGGTAGGCCTGAGGCTTTGATAATGACAGAATTAGACAATGTTAAGTTATTACCTAGATTAAATGGCAACCCTAGGGATATTTGTATATTTGCTAGCCGTATTGCAAACACAGTAGGTACGATAGAAGCACTAAATAGAATTCAGTATTTACATAGCCCCGAAATGTCGCGTAATATCATAGAAAAGTTAACGCCAATATTAAGAAATAAATGGTATGATTACGCGGCTAATAGAAAGCATGAAGATATTCCCGTATTAAAACTGTTATCTATGTTTATGAATGAAGAGGCCGACAAGTGTAGCGCGTACGCGCTGCCGGAGCGTGTTAATGATAACGCCATTGATGTACGACAACGGCGCAGAGTTGAGCGCACGTTCATCGTGAGTAAAAGAACGTCAAGTGAGCTATGCCCGGCATGCAAGCAACACGGCCACAAGTTACCAGACTGCAATAAATATAAGCAGCTAGACATAGATACTCGGTGGAATATAGCAAAAAACAATAACATGTGTTTTAGGTGTTTACGAAATAAACACAGAAGATTTATGTGCAGAGCGCCTATTTGTGATGTCAAGGGATGCAACATGAAACATCACAAACTGTTGCACAAAGAGCGAGACGTTAATACGATACACAACAGACCGCCGCACGCGCCGCCATCAATGACGCCTGTTATCGCACATGAATCCGTGACGTCAGCGCGCGAGACAGTATCAACGACTTCGCCTCGAAATCGCCGCGCGTATTTGAAGATAGTTCCTGTGACGTTACGCGGCCCACGTACGAGTCTAGACACATACGCTTTGTTAGACGATGGGAGTACAGTCACCTTGTTAGACGCGACAGTGGCAGACATCCTAGGTGCAGATGGGCCAGCTAGTCCTATGCAGATACAAGGCCTAGGTACAGAAGTCAAGCATGAGCAAAGCCGCACTGTTAGTCTCTACATACAAGGCAAGTACCACAGCGTCCCGCAGAAGATAGAGGCAGCGCGCACCGTAAACAGGTTGGAAGTCATGGCGCAGACTGTACAAACAGAAGACATAAACAATTGTAGGCATTTAAACGATATAAGAAGCACTCTTGTTCACGACCGCGCGCGCCCGATGATTTTAATAGGTCAAGATAACTGGCATTTATTAGTAGCCACGAAAACGCGTACAGGTTCGCGCGATCAACCGGTAGCATCATTCACGAAACTCGGTTGGGTATTACATGGATGTCATTACCCAGTAAATAAAGACAGAAGAACATTTTGCGGCCACATTAATATTAAAGAAAATTCAGAACAAGTTGAAGCAACCATGAGAAACTTCAAAGTAGAATCACTATGTATAGAACCTAGGATACCTAAATACGACCCGCAACTGCAAGACTTAGGTATTCTAGAACAGAAGTGTCAACGATCGCCCGATGACAGCATCGCGACCGGACCATTGAGCAAACCAGTAGCATCTGCAGTACCTAACAACCACCTAGGTACCCTAGATCTAGATCGGTGCCTAGATCAGGACGAAAAACGCATGAAATGTCATGTGATCAACCACGTAAAAGTTAATGATCCAGTCAAGTATGTACCTACACCTGCTACTTATGTACAACGCGCCAAAGAACAAAAGGACAAGGACTTACCGGCCGAAACCTTATCAAAGGGAACCGCCGCCATACAGGATAAAAAAGCGGCGGCCGGCAACAGCGCGTTATCAGTGCTAAGTACATGTGGCGCAAGCGCACGTGTTTTACGTTTGCGCGGGAAAATCACAGCGGTGGCAAACGTAAATGCAGAATCAAAACACCGTGTTATATTCAAAAGTAAACACAAGTATAAGAAGTTAGGTACTACATATTTGCATAAACAATTACACAATAGCGGGAACAACATAAGACAGCGTCATAGGATTCAATTTGTAGCTATAGGTAGGCACAAAGACGAATGTGTAGAATGTAGATCGATATACAATATACATAGGAATAGATTATAGGTATATAGGTATAAGTTAGTTTGTAGACATAGGTTAGTCTATAATTATAGGAAAGTATAGGTATAGATTAGTTTGTAGATATAGTCTCGTTACCTATTTCAAAGCGGCAGATAGGGACCTAGGAGAAGTGCCTTAAGCGCTTTAGGAGTGAGTCCAATGCGCGGTCTATAAGCTGGAAGCTTATACCACCGGTGTCGCCGTTTTGGCAAGATGGGCGCGTAATACCAGCCGGTTCCTCAAGACCGACGGGAGCCCAACGGCAGCGGCACCCCACCCAAGGTTGGAGACGTCGTCGTGATCTCCGACCCTTACCTCCCACGCAACAGTTGGTTTAGAGGAAGGGTGATACAGGTGCTGCCAGACACAGATGGAGAGGTACGAGTAGACCACATCGTCATGAACAGACGACTCGTACTCCGAAGACCGGCGAAGCGCATTGTCGTGCTCACCAAGGAGTCGCCTGATGGCGACGGCGGGAGAAATGTGCACGACGGCAATACTAGGTCGCGAGCCGCCCGCGACGTGTTCCGAACGTGTCCGAACCATGACGAAAGGGCAAGTTCAGACACGAACATCAAAGGCGCGCGGCGGCGATCCTTTGTTCCGCGCCGCCGCTGCTTGGTTTGAACTTGCCTTTGAGCATGTACAAACATGTTAACGTCGCAGAGCGGCCGAGTCGCGAGCCCCGATCAACAGGAATTATCTGTCCGCGCGGCTCGCATATAAAAGGACGCCTCCTTGCGAGGCGCCCTCAGTTGTCAATCAGTTGTAAATAAGTTGTCAATGAGTAGTCAATGGGTAATCAATGTATTGTCAGTGTATGTAGTCGTTATGTATAAAGTCGATCATAGCCAGTCGATCGTAATATTGTCAATTTCATCTCCACTAGTGTTGTTAACATTATCATCGTAATAAAGTATATCAGTGTACAAGAGTTCTCCAGTTTCATTATACAGTCCACTTGCTCTCCAAAAGGACCCTAGCTCGTCGAGGACTGATCCACAGCCTGATCCCTCCGAGCCCGTACAAAAACAAAAAGGAGATTCACTAAACGTTTACGTATACTTTATTATAATAAACTATGCATAATAAACTTCATATACATTATGATAATTATTCTCTTTTCTGTATGTTAAAGGTACAAACGACCACTTCCACATCAACTTGGAGGACGAAGTGACCCGTGGCGCTATAGTGCTGAAGGCCGGAGAGTTGCTATGGCCAGCCCCGCCTCCACCCAGCATGGCGGCCGTGCAAGCGTCCTCGCCGACACCCTCTGCAGTCGCCAAACCAGAACCACCGAATCCATTCAATGAGACCTTGAAAGATGCATTCTTGTATTCCACAGGTACACATTTAATTTTTTTTAATTATTTATACATATAACACACAATAATTATTTATTGTCACCAACCCAATGGGCCATGATCTCTCCATTAAACATGTTCCTGAGCTCAATCCTCGAATCATCGTATCCATGTCATATCTGATAAATACATAGGTATATGGAGAATTCAGAAAAATATATTCTACTATTATTTATTTTTTATAATAAACATTGTCATGGGAATATTGAATTAATGTATTTTTTATGTTTTAACTAGGATTGGCTGGTTTGATTGGTCTGGGAATAGCGGCTCCTAATCCTGCTTTCACGACAATGACGACAACCCTTGCACTATCAGGTACATAGTTATAGATATTACTATATAATATTCTGTCCCAATATTATTCAAAATTGCCTTTCTTGGCGAGCTGAGTATCTCTATATGGATTTCGTTATATAGCCAGTTTTACTGGCTATACTGGCTATATGACCTTATTGAAAACAATCATGCCCTATTCTTACAGTTTAAACCACATTTTAATTTGCATGATCTAGATTTACGTCCAATGTTATGTATTTTATTTAAAGCAAAGTAATGTTCCATACTCTCTGCCTACCCCCATGGGTAACAGGCGTGAGATAATATATGTATGCAAAGTAATGTAATAAATAGACACAAGGCCTTAATGGTCTAACTAAGTATGGTAAGTAATTGGACCAAATAAGTTGTCGTGAAAGTCTACCATTAGAACGTGTTTGTGTGGCAGGCGTGGTGGGGTACCACACGGTGTGGGGCGTGGTGCCGGCGCTGCACTCGCCGCTGATGTCGGTGACCAACGCCGTGTCGGGCATCACGGCCGTCGGCGGCCTGCTGCTCATGGGCGGCGGGTACCTGCCCGAGACGCCAGTACAGGTAACACTCTCATAAATTATACACTGACAAATGTGACAGTTTTATAGGTGGTAACAGCATAAAGATCGTCCTCCAATCCGCCGATCAAGTGTAGTGATTACGGCAAACCCTTTTTATGTAGAGGAGGTTCATAGTTAAGCTGTGGACTGTCAAGGGTTTATGACGATGACTAGCTTCATATCACGCTTTTTATTCAAATTGCATAATATGAATGAACAATGACCATTTTCACCAATCGTCTTCAAACCATCTCTTAACTAGGAGTTACTTAAACTAACCCCTTACTTGTGCTATTAGAGCTCACTTGTATGTGTCGGTGAAAACCAAAAAGTTGTGACATCTATCTTAGCTTAGGGATACCTTAAAATTTAAAGGTGGTTAGTGAAAATGGGCATTATCCACACAATACGAATTTGTTACGGTCTTTATTTTGCTTATTTATTTTAATGAGTTTTTATCAAATAAAAAAAGCAATGAAATTAGAAGTACAATTTATTATTGACATTGTAACTTGGTATTCGTTCCTTACAATTTGATAAAACAATGCTATAGAAATTAACTCGTATTATGTTTCAACAGTGGTTGGCGAGCACAGCAGCGCTCATATCGTTCGTCAACGTGTTCGGCGGCTTCCTCGTCACGCAACGCATGTTGGACATGTTCAAAAGGTATACAAGAATATTCACGTTAATTTACGAACTAAGAGACTGCAAAGCGAAATAAATATATATCTCCTACCAGTTAGGAAAAGTTAGTCACCTTTGTTATTTTTTTGCAGGCCAACTGATCCCCCAGAATATGGATACCTGTATGGAATTCCGGCTGCAGCTCTTCTCGGCGGATACATCACTGCTGCCATGCAGGTATGTTGCTCAAATAGTATCAACGTCATTTAAAATCTAGTGTCCAAATCAATTTGAATGACCAACTAATACCAGTTCTAAAAATAATGCACCATTGTTACTCCAAATGTTTTATTAATCATTTGGACGTGTTCTGCTACTTAATTCTTTGGCGTGGTTTTAAAACCACGCCAAAGAAACATTATTGTTTATCCCAAAAAGGCAGTGATAGTCCATTGTATAATGTGACAATAACTATAATCTTTTCAACAGGGTTACTCCGAAGTTCACCAGATTGCTTACCTCGCGTCATCATTGTGCTGTGTTGGAGCACTTGCAGGTCTTAGCTCCCAAACCACGGCTCGCAAAGGAAATTACCTTGGGATGGTAAGATATAGCAATTCTCAGTAAATTATAATTATCAAAAGAAAATATTTGTCTTGCAACCAATGATTAGAAAAGGCATTCTGAACAAAGCTATTGCATGTGTCCGCAGCTATAGACTCGACCCAAGACCCGCTCATTGTAATCTTGATGACATTAGCTTTAATCTACTGATCATTGTAAAGGCAGTGAGACATCAGTGAACATATGAAAAAATTACTTCATCTTTCAATCTAATTACAATTTTTCTCTTAAAAATTTAATTGTGTTGTTATAAATTTTATATTTACAAATTAAGGTGCAGTAATTTCGTCTAGTTCACCTATGAGATTTTATTTGCATTCGTTCTGAAGTCTAAACGAATGTATGTTATCATAGCACATAATTTATCTAACGAGGCAACTTGGGTTCAGCTCGGCACTTACAACCATGTTGACTCTTTAGTAATATGAGGTTGCAAACACATTTTGAAACATAATACTGGTAGCTTTACAAATATTTGATCCAATGTAACTATTTACTATACAGATTGGTGTATCGGGAGGTATTGCCGCCACACTGGGAATCCTCACGCCAAGTCACCCAGTGTTGGCCCAAATGTTGGGAGTCGCTGGTATTGGCGGTCTTATTGGCAGCACTATTGCCAAGAAAATTGAAATCACTGACCTGCCGCAACTTGTGGCTGGTTTCCACAGGTAAAGATTTGTCGATTCTATTTTTGCCTTTTTGTAGAAGAGTTGTTTAATAATTTAGGGCTTATTGTAATTATTTTTCAGGGAGTTTTTATTTCGATATTCCTATAGACTCGGGATCTTCATTACACACATCATCAGATGGAAAGCTAGTTTGTTCTAATAATATCATTTGTTTCCAGTCTTGTCGGCATGGCGGCAGTGTTGACTTGCCTGGCCACGTACATGCATGACTTCCCCGCGATGGCGATGGACCCCACGGCCGCCACGCTGAAGACATCTCTCTTCCTTGGCACGTACATCGGAGGCATCACATTCACGTGAGTTATTTTAAAAATACTATTAAAAATTATATAACGCTACAATAATTACGTCAACAATACACGCCTTAAATTGTAGTATACTTTGTAATCTAGATGAATTAATCGTAATTACTTCAGAAATATTGATAATATAGATAGTCATTGGTAAAAGGGGAAATCCTACATTTTAGGATATTTTAAGGTTTTGACTGCCAATAAAAAACTGTTGAAAGCAAATCCTCCGCTAACACCAGTCGAACCCCATGGTGTTTAATGTGTGTCGACTGTACGATTGATAAATTGGCTAGGCAATGGCTGTTGCACTCCGAGTTATGGGTTTGAAGCCCGCACGGAACGAGTCGTTCATGAGATGCCTTTTACAAATTGTTTTGGATATTTTATGGTTGTAAACGCGTGAGGTAACAAACAGCAGGAATTTCCAATGTGGGGCAATATTTCATGTATAAAAATATTGCAGCGGATCTCTGGTGGCATACGGCAAGCTGCAAGGCTCGCTGTCGTCAGCCCCCCTGATGTTGCCGGGGCGGCACGCCATCAACGCGGGGCTGCTGGCCGGCTCGCTGGGCTGCGGCGGCGCGCTGCTCGCCTTCCCCGACGTGCCCGGCCTGCCGCTGCTGTCCGCCGCCGCCGTGCTCAGCGGCATACAGGGACTCACCCTCACCGCCGCTATTGGAGGTATGTTTCATTGCAAAATAAACGTTATTACATACTGGCAAGGTTGAATTTTGTAAACATAAACTTTTAACTATTGAATTTGTTTACCAGATTCATTAATGTGATGAAACTGAAGATATGTATGTTAATTATAGTAGATGACGCTCTGTAGTTTGAACTGAATTATATGTGTCTTAAACAGACTCTAAATTCTTGTTCTAGGTGCGGACATGCCCGTGGTGATTACAGTATTGAACAGCTACTCTGGCTGGGCGCTGTGCGCTGAAGGGTTCATGCTGAACAACTCTTTGATGACCATTGTTGGTGCACTTATCGGCAGCTCTGGTGCTATTCTTTCATACATTATGTGCAAGGTGAGCCAACAAACATTTATATTTATGTTGCTCTGTGCAAAAATTTTACATTAACGGAAATGAATACATTGCCACTGTATTAATATGTAACATTTAACATTATGTTTCAATACATTTGCAGGCTATGAACAGGTCTTTGCCTAATGTAATCCTGGGCGGATACGGAGTGACGAGCAGTGGGTCGGCGCGTCCCGCCGGCGCCACCCACACCGAGGTCACTGTGGACTCGGCCGCCGAGCTCATCCACCGCGCCTCCAACATTATTATCACTCCTGGTAATAAAATTATCCAATAAAACTTGCCGCAATCGTAACTGATTGAGTTTGCTCGACCACTTTCTAGCCCGACAAGGACTCATAATCTATCTCGTTTGCAGGTTACGGTCTCTGTGTTGCTAAAGCGCAATACCCCATCGCGGAACTGGTAGATATCCTAAAGGGTATCGGAAAGAAAGTTCGTTTCGCCATCCACCCTGTTGCAGGTATGTTGCAGTCTGCGATGATCCGCACACCTATTGTTCTTTAATTGTATCTATAATGACGGTACTCACAGGGTTAATGTATGTTTTATTAGGTCGTATGCCGGGACAGTTGAACGTACTGCTCGCCGAAGCTGGCGTTCCCTATGATGACGTGTTTGAAATGGAAGAAATTAACGACGATTTCCCCGAAACTGATCTCGTATTAGTCATTGGTAAGTTCATAAACACTAGGCCATGTATAATTTTATTATTTATAGCTGCTATAATGTTTTTCCGCTTAATTCATTTATAATCTTCACTTGTAACAATTTATACTTAGCATCATTTTAAAAGTGTCAGTGCCAATATCATTAATATCAGTGTTATTATATGTTACACACAATATCGCATTTGATAAAGATTTTATCTAAGCCAAATAGGCTAGTAGTAACATAATTAAATAAGCAATGTATTATACCTGTAGGCTGTATGCGCTTATCTCTACGTGTTTATCTGATAATACCGAATTGTTTACATAGGTGCCAACGACACCGTGAACAGCGCTGCGGAGACCGACCCTCAGTCTCCTATCGCTGGCATGCCTGTACTTAAAGTTTGGAAAGCGAATCAGGTAAATGACAATGAATATTTAATTGCTATTTCTTGTGTATACTTTTGTGTGTATGGTCAATTTGGATTAATGAAATAAGTGAGAATCCACTGCTGGACTACGGGCTTCATCTACGAAAGTAGGGTTTGCCATCATCTCCTACTGTCTGTCTCTTACGACATTGGCGGAAAGAGAAGGGTTGTTGACAGATGTATTCTACTCTACTGTTTCCACACGGCATGTTATCACTTGTAACTTAGTAACATAACATAACATCACGCCTTTTAACCCCGAAGCACATTATGCCACTGTGCAATGTAACACCCACTTTACACTATTTATGTTACGAGTCCCATGTAATAGGGGGTGAGCCTATTGCCATATACCGGGCCTAATTCCAGACTCCGTGCTACTACTGAGATTTTTTTTTAAACCCAGTAACACTGCCCGACCTGGGAATCGAACCCGAGACCCCTTGCCCGGCAGTCGCACTTGCGACCACTAGACCAACGAGGCAGTCACTTTGTAACTTTGTCTAAAACAATAATGAAATTCCAGGTGGTAGTAATGAAGCGATCGATGGGTGTCGGTTACGCCGCTGTCGACAACCCCATCTTCTACAACAACAACACCGCCATGTTGCTCGGAGACGCCAAGAAGACTTGTGATGCGCTACTCGACCGCATCAAACATCTCACCGCTTAATTAAGATAGTGATAATTTTATGTACCAAATACCTACTTGTTATTTGGGTATGACTGTAGTTACAGTCTAACAAAATATCATATAGGTAGTTCAATCCAATTCGATTTCGCTGAGTACTAGTCTTATAGTCTTAAATCAGGTTGTTTTTGCTATGGAAGTGGCAAAAAATGTTCTAATTGGTGTTTAGATGCACAGTTCATCATTGAGTGTGTGACTCATCCATCTATATGATTGTCAACTACAACTTTTGATAGGTTCTAATTGACCTATGATGAAACGAAAATATTTTGTTGTATAGAATTAATTCTCAATGTTTACGAGCCTATTTGCGCATGTACTTTTGATGAAATGGGTAATAAATTTAGGACATTTCGTTACTTGATATATTTTGTAAGGGACAATAACATCACAATTTCATTGACCAACACATGGTTCCTATCGGAGCAAGTTTTGTTATGGACTGGGCGAATTACAGACCAAAGTTATTACGTAACATGGGCCTAACGTATTTGCCAATTTTAGTTGGGGGATTGAGGTGTGCATGTAATTGCACTCGCATACATTTTTTTACTTAAAAAATGTATGACGATAGAATAGGAAATTTGTCGAATGTGGCTGCTTCGTAAGAAAACGTGTGGTGGTTTAATGCCAGTTGACAAAATATTATTTTCATTGCTCATTAAGTAAGACTGTCAGTTTTGACGCATTTTAATTTTTGTAATGTGGGCTATTGCTATTGTGCATTACCAATAGTCTTATTTTTTTCATGTTAAGTCTGTCATGCTTTTATATTTTGTTTATATGCAAGTTATGTAAATCGTTATCCAAAATGGTGCCTAAAATATCCAATGTGTTCTTCTTAATCAAGTGTCATAATGTTTTATTGTACTATGCAACTTTTGGGACTGAATAGGGATAATAAAACAAAGCGATGTTGCCAAAATAACGCTTTTCCTAATGTTAAGAACCATATGTGCCTTTAATTTGCAACAATTTGAGTATCTCTTAACAGCTAGTCTATAAGATATTATCGAAATTATTAAAAAGATTTTTATGGATTTTTATGTATAGTATATCTGCAAATTAAATTTTGTATACATAACTATTATATTCAAATGTAGTTCATATTTGTATTATACTATGTTAAACATTTGAGATTTTTATATACCTCTGTATTTTTACTAATTATTATTTTAACTACACATTCTGGAATTGAGTTTATCCTAAATGACTGGAATGCATTTATAAATTAAAGAGTGAGCACCTCCCTTCACATTCCACCAATAAATATGTATGCATCACACAACACTATTTCAGTGGAGGTTTTTTTTTATAAATAATTATTGTAGATATTTTTGTAATTTAAGAGAAACAGTGAGTATACCAGTTAATTGTAATAATAGTTGTATGTCAACACTGTATATGAACAACATCATTCCAACAATATTATTACGTTATTTCATATTTAAGTACTTACTTAGTTTATGACGCTAGAACATTGAGCTTTCTCGAGGATCCTTGAAGGCTCAATTTTTATCAAAAATATGATTGTATTTGTTTATAATGAAATGTTATTATCACTTAATGTCCATGGAATGTTTTGATAAATTTATGAATAAATTGTGCCTTTTGAAAATAAAAAATGACTTAAACATATTCATGTATTTGTATTTCAAAACCTAGGTACATAAATTAGTTTTTATCATCATTAAGTCGAAAATTGAAGTCTTTGATTGCGTTATGATATTGGCCTCTAATATCTGAAAGTTGAAACTTTAAAGTATTCATCTTATTAAGAAATTCCATATTGTTCTCATTGTAAACGGAACCTGAGAATGAAATTAATTGTAATTTGTCAATTGCTATTAAGACTTCGAGGCGCAACTTTTCACATATATCTTGATAACTTGTAAATTCAGGGATATATCCATCTGATTTTAAATGTTCTTCAGCTTTCAAAGTCAGGAGCAATTCGTCCAATTGAAGAATAAAATTTTCAAAAGTTTTCAGTAACCTTTTATCCAAGTTCCGATTGTGTAAATCAGTAGAAATACTGCCACTAGGGCTTGAGTGTCGTTTCTTTGAACTGTCTGAACTAAAACAAGATTTGGAACTCCCTAAAGTATTTAATTTTGATCTGCATTTTATTCTCCATGTCTTATTACTAGCGATAGACATATTAAATACACTTTGGTTAATAACTTGTAATCCAAAATGATAGAAATGATGAATAATTTGAATAAAAAGAATCATGAATAATAATTTTGCAACTGAAATTTTTGATTTTGTCAGAACCAAAGAGTAAGTTTTCCCCACTTGGTTTCCCCTATACTTATTATCCTCTTTGGAGTAAGTATTAGTGAAAAGTGTAAAAATTCTGAAAGTAAAATGAACTAAGGTTTGTATGGTACTTTTATACCTAATTGCCTATTTGATAGAAAAAAAGTCAATTGTTTAGTTTCACAAATCTCAATATATAGAACTAAAGAGTAGGTAGGCATTTTATCAATATGCGTTGAATTTTTGTCCACAACTTCATATATAATTTGGATTAACCTGCCTTTAAATTAAATAATACATATTGATGTTGACAACCCTACCCACTGCGGCTGTCAATGTCACTGTCATACAACAAATGGTTGTCATTGTAAAGGATAATAAACCTGTAATCTGTCGACTGTCATACTCATAAAAGAGTAGAGTCGGCAACTCGATTCGGTTTGTTCGACACTACTCGACACAAGGTCGAATTTCTTTAGAATTGATAAAACATTAAAAGTTGCGGTGCAAATTGCACCTTTATAGCTTAGGAATCAGTAACAGAACAACTGCTTGATTTTAGACTTTAAAGTACAGCAGTATTTAATTAGAATATCAGGAACAAATCAAATACACACGATTGAGGAGTACAATGCACTAGACTGGCCAGGAAATTAGCATTTGGTAATCGGTTTATTTTGTATTGTGTTTAGTTTATATTCGTTACCCAACCTCTGCACTTCAGTGTTCAGCATGGTACGTGTTTGTTTACTTTCCGTTTTATTTAACCCTTATTTTTTAAACTATTATTTTTACTGCTTTCAACAAAATCTATAAATAAAGATGACTTGATATCGTAAGTATTTAGTAGTTTAAACAGTTTTAGTTACTCTTTGTAATTGTAGCTAATAGAAATATTTTGGATATTGCTTAAATTTATTTTTTAAATTTATGTATGCTCCGGTACATTTAGCTACGTTTTTCTTTAGTAGATGGATCTACTATTTCTTCCTATTGTTGTATATTTGTATAAAACAATAAATAAACATTTTAACAGGCAAGTGATGAAAAGAAAATGGTGTCTTCAAGTAAACCAGCACTGCCTCCAAGCAGTGATGAAACTGGCAATGTGCTGTCTATGATATACAGATTCTTCAAAAAGGTATGTCAATAATGCATAAAAATTTAAATAGTGACTGGGTTTGTTATTTTAAGTTAGATGGCATCATCTTATTAGAATATAAATGCATTGACTGTGTGACCACATTGTCAAAACAAAATAGGATGTCTTAGAATGAGTCATGTTGACCTTGAACAGCGATGCTTTGAATCATAAGATAAGCATTCAACCTTCAAGTGTTAGTTCCTGTTGTTTATTTTATTAGGTGGAAGTTTTATACTAAGTAATGTGGAGCCTGCACAATTATCACTGTCTCATTAAAATGAATCATCCAAAAAGTTCACATGATTAGATCATAGTTCTATATTTGCTTAGTTGCTAATCTGCTCACTTAAGTCCAAGTACTTACTTATTGATTTAACTGGCCACTCAATTTTGAGCTCAAATAATAGAAGAAATATGTGCTGCATAAGGTAAGCCTTGCTTATCAGTAATTGGATACACAGTCAACACCTTGGTAAATGAGCAGAACACATGCACATTAGTATAATTTTCACATAACATCAGACAACACAGTGATGTCATACACTTTAATTATCCACAGGCAGGAAATTTTAGCTTTTAACTAGAATGAGGAAGAACTATATTTATAGTATCTACAGGAACATTCAGGCATAAACTAGTGAAAATAACAAATAAACAATATTATCAACTCGTGAGATTCCTGTAACTCTTTATTATAAATTTATTGATGAATTTAAGAATAACATACTTAGTTATAATAAAACTATATTTTTGAACGAATGTAAAAAACAGTGTAATTCAAAAATACTTTATCATTGTTAATAAAGGAACGGCATCATCACACAGGGTCATGAAATTCCTCTTTAATTAGTTAATATAGGTAATGATTATATTAATTCATTGCTTTAAAAAGCTTACTTATTAGAACATTAGGTGCTAGTGCACTTTTGGTAAAAACAATCTCAAAGTGATATTGTTAAACAATCATTATATCAGCAATGATAAAAAAAAGTATTCTTGAAATAATCTTATCAAACCTAATAAATATATGTACATTGTAGTTTTTATCAGGAACGGCATGTGCACGCCATTATAATGAGACTATTCATAAAAACAAATTCTCTTTATATGGTTGTTTAATTGAATATTTTCCATGCTTCATGAACTATTGCTGCAGGTATCGGTTGTTGGCGCCGTGTACCTGGTCGGGTACATGCAATGGAGCGTGGCGTGGCTGATCGGACCCGTTATTCTGTCGGTACTGCGCGATCAATGGCGTAAGGAGAACGAGTACCGACGCAACTTGGCCAAGGCCGCGGCCTCCTCCTCCGAGAAAGATGTTGTTTTGGCTAAGCTTGACGACTTGCCGGCCTGGGTAAGATGCTATATTTTATGTCATAAACAAGTTATCTATATTCTCGATTAATAATAACTTTCAAACAGTAAATGAAAAGCATTTCTCCGATTTGGCTCGTGTCCAAAAGATAAACGTCGATCTGGTAAAATTAACTGATATGTAGGATTATTATTCAGTCAAGTGTCTGTGATTAAGAATTCTGTAATCCATTAGGGTCCTATTTCCGTTTACTTACGTCACGTAGGAAGTGATGGAATGATTGATGGTGACTCAAAATATCTTTTATTATCTACCTTTACCGGTTTTATACCACATTAAAAACGTTTAGATCGCATGTATCATAAACTGCAGTAGGTATCTATTCACATTATAAAAATATATGTACTTCAAACATTAAAACGTATAAAACCGCACACTCTAAAACTATTATATAGTGCGCGGTTTTTTGTTAGTTTTGCACCTACCTACTTTTGATTTTTTTTACCTACACAGGTGTACCTTCGTTAGGAATATACATATAATACTACGTACCTAAGTACTACTGATGATTTTGATTAACATGAACCGTGATCAAGTTCGATCGACCTAGAAAACATTCGAATAAATAGTTTCTGTCTGTCGGTAACATGGCACACATTTTCAGCTGACGAAATGTAGTTTCAGCCATTTGAACTTTCTGTTATTCGAAATTGTTTGTCCGTTCCGAATGGTTCCAATTAACTATAATCTTACGTCATACCTGGCGTATACAGTAAAGATTAAGGTCAACGACACTGGTCAAATCGATTGTATGACCTCACCACGTTTTTACTGTAGAACAAGTTCATTGTTTTTGTGTGGTGGGAATTACATAATAATATGTATAGGTACATTTTGTCATACACAACATCACGTTTATTGCCTTCAAATAATAGTTAGAGCTTTGTATCTTACCTACTAGAATTTACTAGGTATTACAGCCCTATCTCAAGATTTTATGTTATACATTACTAGAAATGCAAAACCAAAACTCCCAGAAACAACAGAGATGTTCTCTTATTTAATAAATAAGAGTATAAATAAAAAAATAAAATAAACTACGTTTAAACGAATATATTACTATTACTTCTATTATAATTATTACTTTAACCCCCTCTTTTTGAAGTATTAATATAATAATAATATATTAAAACATTCCCCTAAGACAAACACTTTTCTGAAAACCTCATCAAAATCGGTTCAACCAATCGCGAGATAATCACGCACAAACATACATGCATAATGTACAAACTGAAACAAACTACCGACTTTTTTCATTTTGACGTCGGTTAAAAATAACAGAAAGTCGAGGACCTATCTATTAACAACTAGCTTCTGCCAGCGGCTTCGCCCGCGATCCCAGGGGTAAAATGCCTATGTATCACTTCAGACCATAATCTACCTATATATATAATTTTTAGAATTAATATAATTTTAAGGAGAATATTTCCGTCATACATGATTTCTATGCAGCTTTAACCTATAAGCCTGCACACGCGACGGAAGCTTAAAAAATGGAGTAACTTCTCCCGTTTTCCCAATATTTCCCTTCACTGCTCTGCTCCTATTGATCGTAGCGTAACGTAACGTATAACCTGCCCAAGAGTATGAAGAATAATTGTGCTAAATTTCGTTAAAATCCATCGAGTAGTTTTTGTTTCCATAACGAACATACAGACAGACAGACAGACAGACAAAAATTTTACTGATTGCATTTTTGGCATCAGTAGCGATCCCTAACCACCCCTTGATAGTTCTTTTTTAAATATATTTTATGTACAGAATTGACCTCTCTACAGATTTATTATAAGTATAGATAGATATGTATTATGTATACCTTATCTAATTAAGTAATTGTCAATTCATTTTATTTATAATTTCAAAAATGTGTTGTGTCTAATACATCGTTATACCTAATACGAATTCAGGACTTCGCGACAGAATCGATTAACAGAACACACATTGTATAATTGAAAAATAGTTACACTTTCATTCATTGATTTGCCGATATACTTAATTTTCGATTTATTCTTGCATTTTCTTCAGATATTTTTTTTTTTTTTTTTTTTTTTTTTAAGGGGGAAAATCATCGAATGACTGCTCCCGCCTGGGTGAGGCGGAAGGGAGTGTCAGACTCTTACTGACTAAAAACCACCCCGTTCCTTCTCCTGCACGTCGAGCCGGAGCCCCGGTTACCCGTTAGGTTCTCCGCGACTCCGAATCGGCATCGGCCCTATTGGGCCCCATCTGTGGTGGTCTGATGGCTCTTTGAGGCGCGCGCGGAACGCGACGCGCCGTACGCTCGGGTCTGTTTCTGGTCGGACGGGGAGCCACCCATGCTCGCCGTCCGCAGGCCCGCGCTTACGGTGGCCGGAGATCGTCCCGCGATCCCCGACGCCC